AAAAGGTTCGGGAACGTATTGGGTCCTGGCAAAACAAACTCCTCTCGAGAGCCGGGAAGGAAATTTTATTAAAAAGCATTGCTCAGGCCATGCCTATTTTTACAATGTCAATGTTCCTGCTGCCACTACGGGTTTGTGATAACCTTGAAAAATTGTTTAACAGGTTCTGGTGGGGCGGTGGTGGAACGGGCACGAGAGGAATTCATTGGCTGAGATGGAGTAAGTTGTGTGAGCCAAAATCAAAAGGAGGGCTTGGCTTCAAACGGTTACACGAATTTAATGTGGCCCTTCTAGCAAAGCAAGGGTGGCGTATTTTGGTCAATCCTGACTCTTTGGTCAGCCGGCTATTAAAGGCTAAATACTTTCCTAAATGTGATTTTATGAAGGCAAAGCTGGGTAGTAATCCAAGCTACATATGGCGTAGCATTTTCTCGGGACAGGAGGTGTTGAAGTTGGGTCTTGCCCGGCGAATTGGGGATGGCCGTGACACCAACTTATGGGACTGGCCTTGGCTATCGGATGCTTCCAATCCCACACTGTACACCCCACGCATAGAAGAATTAAAAGATGCTACAGTTAGTGGTTTATTTGATGAGCATGGGGCTTGGGATTCGGATGTAATACAGGATATTTTTTGGGAGGAGGATGCTCAACGAATTATTGCCACACCGGTGAGTCCAGTGTTCCATGATTCTTGGCGGTGGTTGGGGGACTCAAGGGGTATGTACTCGGTAAAACAAGGATATCGGCTCATCACTAACAGTATGGTGGTCAACAATGTTGCGGGTGAATTCCAAGCTTGGAATAAAATTTGGTCTCTACCAATTCCCCCCAAGGCGAAGAACGTACTGTGGCGATGTGCTAGAGGAGTGTTGCCGGTCCGTGAGACTCTTAAGTCGAAGCATATTTGGATAGGTGGAGGGTGTCCGCTTTGTGGATACGTAAGGGAGACGATGGAACACTTATTCTGCGAGTGTGCCTATGCGATGGCTTTATGGAACCAGGGCGATGTGCTACAGGGAAGGTGCATGCAGCTGTTTATGGACCACTGGTTAACAAATTCAACAATGCATGAATCCATTACATTGGCGGCAATTACGTGGGTGGTGTGGACTACAAGGAATGATGTTGTGTGGCGTACCATTCAACCGTCCGTGACAACCATGACGTCTCATCTATCGCGATTGAAGGCAGAATGGGAAGACGCGTATCAATGTTCTTTGCGGCGCGACGTAACGGAGCATGCGACGATCTGGCAACCACCTTCAAGCCCGTCGGTGAAGTGTAACGTGGATGCAGCCACTTTCTCGGATGGGGCAGGCTTTGGTGCTGTTATTTGGGACCACGCTGGACGTTTTATCGCAGCAAGAAATGGAAGGATTACGGTCAGCCGCGAACCTTTGTTGGCGGAGGCAATTGCTGCAAGGGAGGCTTTAAAATGGCTCAAAGAATCACAGTATCATAACATTATTCTCGAGTCTGATTGTTTAAATTTCTGTACTGCGTTTAATTCTTGTAGTCGTAATTTTTCTTATTTGGATGTAATTGTGAAGCAATGCGTGTCGATTGCTAATGACATTGGAAACGTTAGTGTTTGCCATGTCAGGAGGACAGCGAATCAGGTGGCTCACGAATTAGCAAGGGAAACCGGTTCTTCTTCTGTCTCCGGAACGTGGGAATTCATCCCACCGGCCTGTATTTCTGGTTTACTAAGTCATTAATGAAGTTGTGTTGTTTGGTTTCAAAAAAAAAATACCTTTAATGGTACCATATAAAGAATAAATTTTATTTATTTTTATTATTTATTAAATATAATTATTCTAATAATTAATAAATTCTTACTATAAAATATATTTATATCCTTAAAATTCATTATACAACTTATCCACTAACCCCTAACAAATTAAATAATTTTATCAAATATTTATTTACAAATAATTAGTATTATCATCTTGTCTCTCGTCCTTTAAGAGAGGTCGAGAGTTCGAATCTCCTCTCGTATAAAAAAAAAAAAAAATCAATCTGACCAGCATTTTGTCCCTTAATTGGACCGACCTGGTGTGAATGGGAATTAATCTGAATATGGTACATGCTTAAAAGTGTCCCATACAGTTAGGACCTGCTCAAGACAACTTATAAAAAATATTATCATCTTTTTTTTTGAAAGGAATATTATCATGATTGTCATATGAAAGTGGAATATTATCATTAAAATATTATCATCTTGTCAAACTAACTAACCGCTAACCGAATCATTTAATAACTAACAACACAATCCTTTAACCACTCACTATTAATTTTCAAACAAGGCCATTATGATGTGTAAAATTCAAATATTGTGCTCCTTTCTTCAGAGGTTGGCCAAAGGCTTATTATTTTGGGCTTTGAAAACTTTGTTGCATGTTTGGGTTATCCAAACTACATTGGGCTATATATTATTTTTTGTTTCCTCTTTCAGTGTTGAACTATGTCCATAGAAAGAATAATGTTGTTCTTATAGAAGGTTCAGGGAGGAGATCGAGCCCTCAACCACATTGACATCCTTTTATATATATATATATATATATATATATATATATATATATATATATATAATAGATTAGGTGCCAATGGATCCTTAGGTGAAAAATGTGATGATATCAGCCTTTGATCTTTAATGAAATGGACGGTGACAAGGATGTAATTTTTGTAATGTTAAATGAAACACGCGTTGTTAGAGAGGTAAAAAGTTTTTTTTTTTTTTAAACATAAAAAAAAAAAAAACCACAACAAAGCAACTTTAGTTTTATGCGCCCAATGCACATTGTTGTGTCTTAAATTGTTTGGTCTTATAGAACACATTGTTTGGTCTTACAATGCACATTATTTGGCCTTAAAGCTAAGGCTGTGTTTGGTCATTTTCCGAGTTTTTGGTGTTTGGCTACACCTGAAAAATCCAGTCAACGGAAAACATTTTCCGCCACTTCTCTTTCATTTGTTTTTTAATGATTCTATGGTTTCTGACGGAACCCAGTTCCGCCGGAAACCATAGCCATGGTTTCCGGCGGAACTGGTTTCCGCCAGAAACCAGCCTTGGTGTCCGGCGGAATTGGGTTCAGCCGGAAACCATAATTTTTCTCCTTTTTTTTTTCCTTTTTTTTTTTTTTTGTTTTAAAGATTTAAAATGTATTTTTTATTCAGAATAAAATAATTAAAATATGTAATTATACCATTCTACTCATTTTTCAGAAGATGAACCAAACACAGCAAAACAGTTTTCCAAATGCAACCAAACACTGGAAAAGGAAAATGTTTTCCGGAAAATGACTCATTTTTCAAAAACCATTTTCCAGAAGTCATTTTCCTGCTTTCCAAACGGACCCTTAAAGATTTTCTATTATAAAATCATAGACTTCATTCCATAAAATTTGGTAATACATTACATGCAAAAAACTGTAGAATAAACATATTCTCTTAAGATTTATTTAATAAAAATGTGTTTTATAAGGCACAAAAATGCGCACTGTATGGCCAAACAAAGTGCACTATAAGGCCAAACAATGTGCACTGTAAGGCTAAACAAAATGCACTTAAAAGAAAATAGAAAAAAAAAATAGTCAATTATCTCTTTAAAAGGTTACAGTACACATTTTTTGCCTAACAGAGCACATTGTTCTTGTGCATATATATATGCAATAAAGGTTAAAGTTTATATTGTTCCTTCTTCTGGTGCATATTGTTCAAAACCTCTTTGATTAGCTCAGGATCCCTGATGACACTATAGGCATTGGACCCAACGTTACAAGAATTTGCATCAGAAATATTCAAGTTGTTGCCATAGGTGAAGTCATTGAGTAATGATGCTGAAACTGAAATATATAAAATATCATGTAAGTAAGTGCACAAGGAAAACAATCAATCATCTCTTTAAAAGGTTGCATTGTATTTTTTTTTTTTTTTTTTTTTTTTTTTGCCTAACAAAGCACATTTTACATTCTTGCAGTGCATATTGTTCTACTTTATAGTGCACATCATTTAGCCTTATAGTTCACATTGTTAACCACCTGAAAGTTCAATTTTATGCTTCCAATGCACATTGTTGTGCATTCCAAAGCACAATTTTATCACTTTCCGTGCATTTTTTTTATGGCTAATCAAATAAATCTGCATAAAGTGCATATTGTTTTACACTATGACTTTTCGTGCATATTTTTATGTTTTACAGAGCTTATTGTTGTTTCTTTCCGTTCATATTGTTGTGCTTTTGGACTGCATAAGGTTGTAATTTCCCGTGCACATTATTTCTCTAATTCGATCTAGTACCTTCATTCATTATGTCGATCGAAAAGGATTTGCAACTGATATGCGAAGGAAGGAGATCAAATAGTGTTGATCGAGTGTTGTTGATCAACAAGAAAGAATGGGGAAGAGTTTCAATTTGAGTAAAAGATCGACCGTTAACAAAATATGTTTTAGGAAGTAAGGAGAATTATGAAACAGTCTTTCTTGTGTGTGTGTTTTTTTTTTCAAGGTGGGTTAATGTTGTGCATTGGATCACGGATTCAAGACAGATCTATGATTTCATTCCACCTTATTTTTTACCTAGGGAACATTATTATGCACATGAGCTTGAGCCTATGCGTATGTGTGTATAGTATTGATATGTAGATCGAGATGGAGAGAGAAAATATATAATTTGGGGAAATAGATTGTTGGCCATATATATCTATGCATGTGTTGTTGAAATTAAATAAAAGGTAGCTAGGTAGCCATAAGCCATGCATGCATGCATGCAGGCAGTAGTGCAGATATATGGAAGTTAAATTTGGATGAGAAAAAAATGGAGAAACACCCGAAAAGGCAAAAGGGCTGGATCTCTCAATTCCCAATTCCCAATTCCCAACCCCACTAGCTTTCTCCATCCCCATCGGAGACGCAGCTGAAATCTCCCAGTCTCCCCTTCCCATGATGATCCAATTGAACACCCAAACAAACACCCTTCCCAACATTATTTTAATATCATGAACATCATCAACAACATTAATAACAACAACAACAATAACAACATTTCCGGCAAGAACAACACCAACAACAACAACATTATCGTTTCCCGCACCAACGGTTCCCAGGCCTGCGCGGCTTGCAAGTATCAACGCAGAAAGTGCGCCTCCGATTGCATTCTCGCGCCCTATTTCCCCCACGACCGCCAGCGCCAATTCCTCAACGCCCACAAGCTTTTTGGGGTTAGCAATATTACCAAAATCATCCGCCACCTCACCCCGCCGGAGAAGGACGAGGCCATGCGTACCATCATCTTCGAATCCGACGTTAGGGCCATGGACCCCGTCGGCGGCTGCTACCGGATCATCCGCCAGCTGCAGCGCCAGATCGAGCAGAGCCAGGCGGAGCTCGACGTCGTCCTCCACCACCTCGCCTACTGCCGCGCCCTCGCCGCCGGAGATTCCGTTTCCTTGCCGCTGCCCAACAACAACAACAACAACAACAACAACAACGTTAACGCTACTCATCACCACCGCGACGCCGCCATCGATCAAACCGCCGCCGCCGCCGCTGCTGACGTTGTTGCCAACAACAACAATTTCGGGGCTTTAAGGGATGAATGGTACCAACAACAACCCTCCAACGTTAACGTTAACGGCTACCCGGGCCCTCATCACTATCCCCATTACCCTCAACCGCAGCAATACTTGGTCGTCCAGAACAACGGCGATCACCGTGACGATCACCAATTGCCCTACCAGACCAACGTTGCATGGGAAATGCAGGCACCGGATACCACGCCGCCGTCTTCCGTCCTTCCGACCAGCCAAGTTTCTTCTCAGGATAACGATGCCTGTGATAGCATCAAACCAATTCTTGATTTGTCAGGTTACGTTGAAGACCTCAATTTCGGCCCCGAGGAAACCCTTGATGAAAGGTTCCATTTTTACATCAATTATTACTCTTTTTTTTTTCCTCATGGACACACCCGCAACCACTATTAGGGTTCAGTCTTGTGACCCTAACCAGCAAAGTACCTCAAAGGAGGTGAACGAAGCTTAAATTGCCCATTGTTTACAGGCTCAGACCAAGAAAGTCAATAGGCCGCTCTTGTAATAAGTCAAATTTGTAACAGTCCGACCAATTTGGCCAGCTCCATTAAAATTATTGGTTCAAGGTTGTACTATATATTATTGGTAAGTAATAATCTTGAATTTCATGGCATATTGCAGTGAAGAGGTTCTGGTAAAGGAGCAAGACAAAGCTGGTGCATTGAACGAAGAGGAAGAAAATATTTCCAACATGCTCAAGATCATGATCTAAAATCTACTGCACCAGGCCACTTCAATTTGAATTGCTTACATAATTCACTTGCTATTACCTAATCCTACAAATTTTATGAAAGTATTTATTTATTTATTTTTTATTTGGGTAGATTTGAGATGAGAAAGATCGGATCCAAAACCGGTTATCTAAAATTACATATTTATACCATTAGATATATAAATTTTTTTGGGGGATAAGTTTGGACCTTACTCCTGTGTTCTCATCGATCTTATACTGCAAGGTTAGGTATTGTTTGTGTTGTGTTTACAATCTTTCACTATTCAATGAAAGTAATGTTATATTTACTTTCACTCTTTACTTTATTTTTACTTTATTTTTCATATGTTATTGACGTGATATATTCTAATTAATTAATTAATTAAGAATGAATGAATCACCATTTTTATTCATTTCATTTTCTTCATTTGATAATTAAGATCATCAAGTTTATAAGTTTAATTAAAAAGTCATCAATTGCTTTTTAATTTATAAGTTTAGACCTCAAACATAAGGGTCTTTCACTGCTCCTACCTTGAAGATTAGTACAGAAGGTAAATGATAGAATGTGTCTCAATTGGCCTACAAGTCTCCCAAATGCGTGTATATTAGTGTCCATAACAAGACTGAATTCATATTTCCTTGGGATTAACTGCTGACATGCAAAACTTATAGACTTATTTGTGTTGATTGACGAGCTGAGGTTGAGTTCAGCTTTTTATGAAGTTAGAGGTGTCATCATAAGAATGACAATGTAATGGTTGTGAGATGAAAACGAAACAGTAATCCTGTTCCATAATAGTTTATGAGTTATGGCATTATTTATAATGGGAGACAGGGCAGTGTGAGATGGGTATTGTTTAACTGCCAAATGAATTGAATTAGTTGGCCTGCCTGCGGGTGGACAAGATTATACAGGAATTGAATGACGAACTGTGAGGATCGGAGTAAGTGTGTGGATAACGTTATTAGGTGGACAAAATATATTGGTAATAAGGTACCTGGTAAAATGTGCAACAAACATGCATTTTGTGACAACTCATCATCCCCAACTAATCTTCTTATCCTTAATTCACCAATTCTATTAAGTATCAATATTAATCTAACAACTCAATCATAACCAAATTTTCAAAGATGCCACAATTTCACACCTTCATGGGGATGTCCAATCTCCAACTCTAAAATACTATGAGATTATATATGAATTTAAAGCCAATGAACTTGTGGTCTAATCTAGTGACATGAAGTGTCTTCCTCAAATGGAAAGTCATGAATTTGAGTCACAGTGCATTGGTTAGAGGTATCCCTCCAGCCAATAGCCAGAAGACTAATCTTCCGTCTCAACGGTCAGCACACTAAGTGGTAGGGGACTGGCCAAATAGTTTGATCCCAATCTCATGCTTAAGGGACGAGGTGCTGAACCACCACGATAACCATGTTGGTTGCATTCTTTAAGTCTACCTCTCAAAAAAAAAAAAAAAAAAAAGTTATATATTGGATCATTCAAGTAATCACAATACAAATTTTCAAAAAAAAAAAAAAAGTAATCACAATACAATATTAGTTGTTGATAACTTAATTGGTAAGTTTGAGCTTGCTCATTTAATATATCTAAAAAACATATACTGTCATTAACGCAGTGTAACGCACTAGATCGAAAATGAACATTAAAGAATAAATTTACTAGAAATTAGCATTTTGGGGGTGTTTGGTAAATAGTTATTAGTTTATTTGAATTGGATTAGTGGGTTTGACTAGTTGATAGTATACGTTGATTGTAGAAAAGTGTTTAGTAAATTAATTGTTAACTTATAGTTGATTACATGTAAAATGACTTTTCAAAAAAATTGCTTTAAGTAACTTTTTGAATTTTAGCATTTTGGATCAATAAACTATTAATCAAATATTTATATTGATTATTTAATCAAGTCAAATAATTAATAGTGATCAAATAAATTAAAATTGGCTGATAAACTCTATCCAAGCAGCGAAAAGAAAAACAGACATAAAAGGCGACCATGATGTAAATTAAGTAAATGAGCAACTTAAAAAAAAAAAAAAAAAAGGATTTCCCATTGAATTGAAAGACAAGATGCTCATGTTTCTTAAAAAGTCCACTTCCAGATCTTGATTCTAGTGTCAACCTTGCATTTCACGTTCGAGGTGGTCGTTTTCGCCGGCGACTTTCCGGCAGGAACAGTGACTTTAATGCCGTCACAGGTTACTCTAATCCCAACTTTCTTGGTTTTCAGGCTCCCAACTTTCACTTTCACTTTAGTCTCCAACCTTATCTTCACCGGCAAGGTGTTCTTGCTCTTGAGCGTTGACTTTAGGCTTGAAATCTCGCCGCCGTCGAGAGTCTTCCGTGACGTCGTCACCATTGCCTTCAGCGTCGTAGTGTTCTTAGTGCCGTGTCTGAATCCCGGCAAAGATCCGGTTCCGACGGCGACATCGTCGGAAAATAAAGAAACCGTGATGGGGTCGTACAAAAATGTGAGCTTTTTGTTCGGGTTGCGAGCTGAGATGGTGGAGGTGAAGTTGGACGTGAGTTTGGTGGAGGAAATGTTGAATTGGGAGAAGCTGAGGGAGTTTACGGTGAAAGATGGGCGGTGGGGGCGGTAGACGGCCCAGAATATAACGGCGGCGACGGCGGCGAGGAAGACGAGGATGATGATGAGGAATGTTGTCCAGAGACAGCACGAGCAGAGGCAGCTGCGCTTGCGGCGGCTGGAAGTTGGGCGGTATACGGGGCGCGTGGCGTGATAGAGCTGAGGTTTTTTCGGCGGGTTTGTTCCGCTGTTTGCGGCGGGGCTGGTGGCGCCGCCGCCGTTGACTGCGGGCTTGGATGAAGGATATATTTTCTCTGCCATATTGCTTTGCGTTTAGTTTCTTCTTCTCCCCCTCTCAGCTCTGGAAGTTATATAAGAAGTGTACAGTGGGCCAATTAGCCAATTAAAACTCAATACTAATAGCCATTTTTTATTAATAAATATTTCATTTCAATTATTTATATAAGTAATAATGGAGATTCGTAATAAGGTACCGATCAACCTAAGTACCTTTTGTATAATTATTATATCTTAGACCGGGTTCATCTTGTTTATAATCTAGTTTTAACTTAATTTAGTATGAAAAATGTTATTTATATGTTTATAAAGAATATTGCAAAATGCAAATATAAAAAGTCATGTTTAAAATTATACATAAAAAAGTTTTTAAAAAATAAATGTTGATTTAATAATTGAATAGTAAACTTGATTATACTCCGTAACTAACATTCATTAAAAGCAAAGGTAATTTAAAATTCATCATAATTATTATATTCTTTGTACGGAATAAAATAAGTCAACATAGAAAAAGAAACTTCTAAACTTCAAACTACATCTCAATACTAGTTTTTATTAAGTAACATGCACAAAATTAATATCTAATTTTTTTTATAAAAAAAACATAAATTTTACAATTATATAATTCATATTATACAAAAATTTATATTGAATTCATAGTACAACTAAGATCTCAATCATATACACAATAAGGCAAATTCAAAGTTTCCTACATCGTAATTTCATTGCATGACGCTGCGCACTCTATATATGCAATAGTTATGCTGTGGAAACGTGTTTATCATGCGCATGGTGAATATAGGGGTAGATCCATAATTTCTATAATGTAAATTCATTATTTTTTTTTATTTTTTTTTTGAAAACGTAGATTCATAATTTTGCTTTTCATTTGTTGGTATGAAAAGATGTTATATTCTTTTCTTTTTTTTTGGAAGAAATTAAAAGACACTGTTTGAGACCTACCCAAATGTTGAGCGGTTGAGACACAATAGTCATAATTTATGACTTTGTCTTAGGTGGAAATTATTCAATGATATGATGTTATACAGTTAAACCACCCCACACAATGATATCTCCGCCCTTGATGTTAGTTGACCCCATTAACACCGTTCGATCTTTGGAATTAATGAATTATACACTACCTGGATTCTGAGTTTCAGTTAGCGGACTATTAGTTTAAAGTCTACTCATTTGCAAGTAAATCTTACATTTAGTTTCGATATGGTATTTATTTTTACTTTTTAAATTTTGTATTATTATATTTTTTTACTACTATTTGTGCGTCACTATTAGTCATCCTTTTAAATTGTTGTCCTTTCATCGTTTAATAAAGAAGACTAACATGTAATTTTATCATTCAAATATCTTGCTTCAACATGTTAGTATGGTGGAGAAGTTGGAGGACTTCTCTATCAAGCTTCTTCATCCATTGCAGCCCAGCTGCCATGGCAGATAGTTGTCTATGTTCTTTTTTTTAGAAAAAAAAATGTAATTAATATAATTATTTTAATTTTTATAAAAAATATATAATTTTTAAAAAACTATTAATCTACGTGGCATCTTACTTGGTATCTTGCATGCCAGGTGACTTAAGAATAAATGTTATTATATGTCAAATAGGTTAATTGCACAATTTTAATAAGTTTAAGGATCTAATTGAAGGATTTTTAAATTTGAGGGTCTAGTTGCATTTTGATATATTGTTGGATGGTATATTTGACCCTTATCTCTATAAAAATTAAAAGTAGGACTATCTTATCCCACCACAATCATTATATCATGAACCAGGGTTCACACTGCAATATGGACCCTGGTTCATGTGTTTGTGTTTTGTGTTACGACTTTTTGTGTCTTGCGTTATGAAATTTTATACTTTATGAGTATGAATTTTGTACCTGAAACAAATTAGTAATTGTGTCTTGTGTTGTGAAATTTCGTATCTATGAACACGTATTATATACTTAAATCATATTGGAAAAATAAGTAAATATATAACATGTGTATGTGTTTGTGTTATGATTTTTTGTATCTTGTATTATGAAATTATGTACCTTTCGAGTATGAATTTTGTACCTTGTTTTTGCAATCCAACTAGGTGCATAATTCTATATTATGTGGCTTGTGTTGTGATTTTTTGTGTTTTGTGTTATGAAATTATGTACCTTACGAGTATGAATTTTATACCTTATTATTTTAATCCATAATCTATAATACTATGTGAACCCTGGTCTATGATATAAATTGCCATCCCCCAATGTGAAACGTAGCCAATAGTTATTTGCATAATATTGTTTTGGTTTTAAAATTATTAAAGCAGGTAGTCTAAAGACAATGGGATCAAACTGGCCTCTGTTAAGTTACGACCATCTGCTCCCACGGCAAATTATGCTGTGAAATTGTGTCCACCTTGCAACTGTCATAATTGTGAATATAGAGTCTTATAATTATGAACATAAAGTTCTATAATAATGAACATAGAGTTCTGTAATTATAAATATAGAGTCCAATAATTGTGAATATGAAGTTCAAAAATTATGAACATATAGTTTTATAATTATGAACATAGAGTTCAATAATTATGAATATAGAGTTTTGTAATTGTGAATATAGAGTTCAATAATTGTGAATATAGAGTTAAAAAATTATGAACATAAAACCGTGTTCACCGTGAACATAGAATTTTATAATTATGAACATAATTTTGTTATAGACCACACAGCACTGTGTGGATCATAATTTGACTACAACCACTCTCATATTTATTTGGGCTTATCCAGAATAAATGAATAAGTCCATTTGAGAATATCCTTTTATTTGGGCCTACTCTATGGGTGGGTCAAATGTAAAACTAAATTTGGGCCTACTCCAGCGAATTTTGTACTGAATTTCTGGACTGAATGCATATTTCTATTAATTTTTGTTTGTTATATATATATATATATATATATATATATATATATATATATATATATAGAATAGTTTTATTACCCGGGGCGCTAGGCCCAAAATAGTATGTACTAAGTTCGAGGTACAGGTTCAAAACGGCGGCCCACGGGATAGGCTACAAATAACTATGCTGCTAACAAGAATCAAACTTGGATGAAAGAATTAAACATCTAAGACCATAACCATTAGATTAGTGTGACTATCATGTCTCTATGTTGCCCCTACCAGGAGTTATAGTCTGACCCTACACCTTGCGCCGTCCACGTGTATGACCGGGATTCACATCGCTTTCGATGAACACCACGTACCCCACGTTCGCCACAATCCTCGCTATCTCTTCGCACGCCGCGCCACACACCCTCGCCACTCGCCACTCGCCTGCCCCGCTCCTACGCACATGGCACGGCACGACTGCGCCACCCGCACACACATGGCCGTCACACACTGCACGATCAGGGTCGTACGCGCATGCGGCCGCCGCGCGGTCTCGTGACCTCGCACCAACATCGCGCCATCGCCCCAGCCGGTGATGGCCGGCGGTGACCCCCTACCCATCCCTTCGACCAACCAACAACCCAATATTCTTAACCCACTAAGTCGGCTCATGCCCAATATCCCCATCAATTGTGATTGAGTAATTGTAAAATACTAAAATCTTTTAATTAGACAGTGGAGGCTGGAAGACAAACATTGGGAAGTAAATTATTATAAAGCAAAGGAATGAATAGTTATAAAAAGAGTTAATTTCACTTTTGGTCCTATGATTATTGGAGTGCTGTCAATTTCAGTTCATAACTTTCAAAATTAACAATTTAGTACCTTAACTATTCAGTTTTTATCAATTTTAGTCATTCTGACCAAATTGACGATCAATTGTCGCTAATTTTTATCTACATCCCACCTGCCTCTATATTAATTCAAACAATAGTTCACAAATTAGCTTCCATTTTAACATTGAATTAAAAGATTCTGACAATAATTGATCGATAATTTGATCGAATTGACTAAAATTGATAAAAATTGAATAGTTACGGTACTGAATTGTTAATTTTGATAGTTGTGGACTCAAATTGACAATACGCCAATAGTCATAGGACCAAAAGTGAAATTAACTCGTTATAAAAATCCGCAATAACTATTTAACGGTGCATACTAAGTAAACCCTATTTTTGTATAGTAATTAGTAAATTACACAAAAGATGTCAATTATACTAAGTAAACTCGTGACATTTTACTATGAGAATCATATTTTCCTTGCTTGGTCATTCTTTTCCCAAACGAAAAAGGAGTTGCGTAATCAATGACATGATGATTGAAGAGAGACGTGAAGGGATAAGGATGAAGGAGAAGGAGATTTGTTTAGTGGGTAGATCTAAAGGTAACTCAACTCCCTTTATGGTGACAAAATCCTTCCACTCTCTGCTGCAATCTTTTCATTTGTTTCATTGTTTGGTATATCAATCACTCACCTAGTGGCCCGACAAAAACTGCAAATTAAAAGAAATGGGCAAATTCCTTTACAAATATAAACTAATATATTATAGTACCCCCAAAAAGAAAAACTAATAATTGACTTTCTTAGTAATTTGAGTAGTTTATACTTTATATGTTATGTTTGTATCAATTTCATGTTGTAATATATTTTTGGCAAAATATAAAGATTTAGAAAACAAATTAATTTCATTTTTGAAAGTAAAATTTGTATTATTGAAGAAATCTTGAAGGTTAAGCAAAGAAAAATGAATTTAGAACTTGTTTTTGTCATCTTGTAAAAATAGAAATTGTTTGTCATACAAGAAAAATAAATATCTTGTAATAAAGGTAACATGGAGTTTTTGACAAAAAGAAAACAGACTTCTTTTATCAAGAAGGATTCAAGATCTCAAGTTCAACTATATAGATTGTAAATAATAAAGAAGTTGACAAATGTAAATGCATATAGATAATCAACAAAGCATTGTGTGGAGCTGTTATTCGACGTCCAAGAGTCCTTTGATAGTTTAAGATCAGAGACTTTTTTTGTTTTGTTTTGTTTTGTTTTTTTTTTTTGTTTTTTTTTTTGTTTTGTTTTTGTTTTTTGTTTTTTGTTTTTTGTTTTTTTTTTTTTTTTTTTGGTTGTATTGTGCTTTGTTGTGAGTCTTAAGTAACTTAGCTTGTTTCATTCTTTGTCGTAGATTTTTTATTAGGTTAGACACTTTTTATAGGTAATACACAATTTGTTGAAAAAATTAACAAAAATTGGCATTATACTAGTTGAAATTTAATACGTTCATTATAGTAGGCCGATTATAAAGCACATAAAAATATAGCTCATTTAATATTATTTTTATTTTGATATATTATTGTAGTTTTTATTATGTGGTATTTAAATAATTAAATCTATTTTACAAATAATCGATTTTACATATCAACCTAGAGAATGTAATATATCATAATTTAATACATTTTTACCCACTACATATAACACACTCTACAATTAATTTGAAAGGGTTGAAAAGTGAAAACCATCCTTTTTGAACTTCTTATAAGTCTTTAATATTTTTATTTATTAAAAAATTTTTCTTTGAAATACTCATTATTCTTTATAAGATAGTAATTTTGTTTTATACTTTTTTTCAAATATTTTTAATCCAAAGAATCTAAGCTCACCACGAGAGTTCGAACCTATAACCACTCATTTAGAATGGTAACCAGAACATCATCACACTACATAGTAGTTGGCTATTAAAACGTATTTAAATCCACTATTTACTACATATAATACTTGATATTTGATTCATTATAGCGCGTAATTTTAATTTATTAGTATTTTTTTTTTTGAAACAGATCTATTAGTATTTAAAAACGAATGAAATAGTTAATTAAACAAGGTTCTTGACCAAATTAGGAGGCATTAAGGAATAGATAGAACATGAATCCCATCTATATTTTCATGGGATAAACAACACTACTTTGGTAGTTTGTATTTGGTTGGTCCAAATTAAAGTAACATGTTATTATATGAAAGAAACATGGGTGGTGCTTCCTTAGAAAGCATCCAAAATTTCACCGACAGAGTCCAAAAACTAGCACCCCAAGGATTAATTATTTCATTGTAATAATTTTTATATTTGTGTTATGGAGAGAAAGAAGACAAGAACAACAAACGAAATGGAGTCCAACACTAACCCCACATATCCACCAAAATCAACTACCTAACTATCAAAATTCAACATTTGATTCCTCAAAGTCCCACCATATATATATATATATATGATAGAAAACCTAAGAAAACCTGCCATCACTACTCAAATCATTAAGTAAACTTTGCTTTGGAAATGAAGCAATTTTAAATCTCCAGACTAGATGTCTCACTCAAAAGAGGTGCCTACAATTCATCGAGGGGATTAGTCACTGTGTCCAACGGGGAAAACCCTGGGTATACCAAAAAAAAAAAAATAGCCAACAAACTACACAAGAAATGTCGATCGCACTATGAAAACCATGTGCGATGGGTTTAACAGATACAATGTTGACAAGAATTGAACTCATGATCTTTTGATACGAGAATCATGCTCAACATCCACCTAGTCACCTCTTTCGGGACAATGTCCCACTATATTTTCTTTCTAAGCTCAAAGGACCATATTTAATTTCATGATGTTTTATCACATTTAGTTCTCTATTATAACTAATTGACATTAGTTTTTGGGATTATCTAATAATTTTGTGTTCTTAACTTTTTATTCCTACTGAAGAAGATGGTAATAAATGACATTATAATTAAATGACTTAACATATATATAAAAAAAAAAGTTATTTAATTAGTAAAAAAGTCTAATTAAATTATTGTTTATTATGTCTACTAGTTGAATTAACACTAGAGTACTTAAGCGAAAAATGAATGTAAGGAAATAAGGATGAAAATGCACGGGGCAAATTAATTGTTGGTGTAAACTACTGAGTAAAAAGGAGTGGAAACCAATTATTTTCTTTTAGAACAGTTCTAATAATTAATTGATCATTACAAACATGCAGCATTATGGCTTCAGCTGCTTTTAACATTGAATTAAAAACATCCTAAGACATTGTCGACTGCACAAATGTATGTTTTGATGCATGGTTGGTCCCATACTCCCATTCAAGGATAGTGATAAATATTGGTATCAATTAACTTTTCCCCTTTTAAAAAAATTGAATTGTGAATTAACTTAATTAAAAATAATGCTACTTTTTCTCTTAATTTTACTTTCCAAATTCACCTCTTGATATGACAATTAAATTCTTTAATTTTTTTTGATTGTTCATAATTCGTAAATTAACTAACATCAATAGATAAATACTCCGTATTAATTAAGAGGAAAACTTTAAGAGGAGTTAATATTACTCTTAAATTAAATAGAGATCAATAAAATATAAATAGTATTATAATGGAACAGCCTTAAATCTCCAAGTCAGCTGTTCCACCCAAAAAAAAGTGTCTACAATTCAACAATGAGATTAATCATTGTGTCTGACGGTAGGAACTCTGGGTACACCGAAAAATAATAATAATAATAATAATAATGATTTGCTAAGCCTACACAAATCTTTAAAAGAGTAATTATATCTTCTAAAGTCTTAGCTCATATGTATGCCAAAGTCAAGTGGAATTTTGGTCATAAGTTAGGCATTGAAGTAATATTAATTAAATGATGCGTACCAAACAAATTCAAAAGTTTCAACTAATTAAAGATGCAATCACTTAGTTTCACCATTACAAAATGGTTTGTGATCTTGATTTTCTATCTTTAATGTGAAACGCACACAACTACCCACTATAAATTTGACATATTAAAAGAAAAGGGCAAAACTCAAACTAAAAATGAAATAAAGTGTGATATAATAGTTACACCCACACTATCAATTGCTAAGAATAACTTAATCTATCAGTTAGAGCTTTCATAACACGCAAACTAAACTGTTTTTCTATGTATTCGTTGTCATCTTGACTCATCAATGAAAAATTTATCGCTTGATGAATATGTCGTAGCCTGTAATACCAATATTTCCTAATCAACTTATGAACCACACTAACGATATTCAAACATGAATTCCTATCATTACCACTTCGTGTAACATTTCCAATAGTACTCACTTTCAAACTCTACATATCTGCCCCTCCTTTCCAACACATTAATAAACCATGATAAATAGCCCAAAGCTTAGCTACCAAACTATCTGCAACACTTGGATTGGAATTCAATATTTAATATTTAATGGAAATTTATTTTTATAGTACATAACAAAAAAAAAAAAAAAAAAATCTTGTTCTCATATATTTTAAAAATGTTCATGTTTGCTCACAAGTTTTGTTAGTTTGAGAATCATTTAAATTAAATGTAATTATAATTATTTAAAACATATGAACACTTTAAGAGTCAAATTGACTTTTCTGAAAGTATAATTAAACTATTAAACTGAAAAACATTTAATTATATCGTTAGATCAAAAAAATGTAAAATTTGCAAAAGCAATCATGGTCGACATTTATCCAAATTGAAGGATAGTTATTTTTTACCGGGCTTTGATCTTGTGACATTCCTTCGAAGAGAACCATAAAAGTGCCATCTGATCACACAAGGTACTTGGCAAACTATACATGGTTTAAATTCGAAGAATTATATTTTTTTCTACAAGTAAATAACATATTTACCTTTTTATCTCTAAATTCTCCTTAAATTAGGTATAACCCCATTAACATAAACTTTTAAGAAATATGGCATACGCACGGTATAGTTGCCTTTTTTTCTTGTTTTAATGGGTTTGACAATTTCAGTTTGACTCTCCAAAGGTGCCACTGTTTTTCTTCTGTGTGATGAGTTTTAGAGTTTTAGCACTCTTGATTCAGCTGTGGCAAGGGGCTAGGAAATGGTAAGAAAGTCATCACTTCTGGTACTGGTTTTTCAGTGCCAGAATTTTCAAGAAAACTGCATATTTGTTGATGATTGCAAGTTCTAATTTTTAATTTTTTACATTTGTTATTACCACCTAACAGGCTGCTGTAGTTTCACCTACGCAGCCGTCTGGTCATTACTGGCGTGGTACCACTGTGGGTCTGATTCAGTTCAAAGTTTCTTAAAAATCACAGACATGTTGGGTCTCACTACATTGTGTGAAGCTGTTCCGTTTCTATTTCCTGCTTGGGATTGTGGGTTGATGATTTGTTGTTGAGGGAGAGATGGCGGTGGAGCAGAGCTTCATGTTGCTCAAAACTTTCTTGATTCTCACTGCTCTCTCACTCCAAGTATCTGCAGGTGATGTTCTGTGCTTTTTATGCTGTTGAGCTGTGAATTTGTTTAGATTTCTGGGTTTGAATGTTTCTTGGTTGATGGAATATGGGATCATGAGATTAAGGCCATTTGATCAGTAAAAGTGGAATCGTTTTTTTCTGGGTGGGAACTGGGAAGGGTTTTGGGTTCTTAAGTTTTCACTTTTAAGAAGAAGAATTCATCATTGAAGCTTTATTGCTAGTGTTGAAGGAGGGTTTTAGAGTTCTTGGAATTCTGGGTATACTGTAAATTTCAGAATTGTGTATTGATACTTTATCTAAGCTTTCATTGCAGGATTCAATCTGCCTTCTTGGAGGGCTGCTTCAGTACTTCTACACTTCAAACAAGGTATCTCCTGCAAAATGGCAACTTTCTTGATATGTGATTTGGACCCTTTGTCTTGAAATTCTTGAATTTCGATTTCCAAACTGCAATTTTGGATGGTTTATAGATGTCTATTAGTGCTATATTATGGATATATCCTACTTAATGGCTTTTCTTTCGTGTTTCTGATGAGAAACCAGATCCTGCTTCCCACAATTCATCAGTTTCCACAATCTTTGGATGGAAGAGACATTCAATCCTCACTGTAGAAAAAGCAAACCGCAATCCACAACCGTTGGATTATCCACCGAGAGAAGGTACATAGACTACTAAAGCTTCAGTTAACAAAGTATAACTGAGATCTAACGCTTCTGCTTTATTCTGCAGCGCCCAATCCACACGAGATCTTCAACCCATCCCACTATTCGGATGCACCTTCTAAGCCTACGTTTAGGCAACATTTTATGAAATGGATGCACAGATTTGCATTTCCTCCTTCATATTCGGTTTCTAAACACAATCGAGGGAGAAACAGATTGAGCAAGTTTGCTCCCGGGCCTAGCTCACAAGGTTAATTAACCTCTAACAACAAAGAGTTGTTTTGATCTAAGAAGTATATATATAATATATGACACTACGGTTTTTCATCTTTTTAATGATATAGGGCATTGGCATTCGATCTCTCCGTCTCAGTCTCCATTCCCTTCATCAGCTAGTGATTCACTAGCACCCGAGCCATCAAGCCATTTCAATAGTATGTGAAAGCACATTATAGATTCTTTTTCTTTTTCGGTTTTAGTTCATTGTCAAAATGCGTATCAATTCTTAACAAATGATTATACTTTGATTACTTTCTCTCTGTAAGTGCCCGCACTACAGCCAACGAGTCAGAGTTCTTGGAACGATAAAAAGATTACACCGCCACCATTGCCACTCTTGACACTACCACCTCCGCCTCCTAATCAAGGTAAAAGACACACCTTTACGAAAAAGACCACTATGAACCGAGGTGGTTTTGCATCTTTTTTGTTTATATTTTCCCGTATGTTTTGCTAAGTGTACAGTTCGTTTTATTTGTAGATTGTGCATCGGTGAGGTGCACTGATCCTCTAACATACACGCCTCCCGGATCACTGTGTGGTTGTGTGAGGCCTATTGAAGTTGGGCTCCGCCTTAGTATTGCCTTATATGCACTTTTCCCCCTCGTTTCTGAGCTTTCTAAGGAAATCTCCGCTAGCATTTTGCTAAAACGAGGTCAAGTACGCATCATGGGAGCAAACGCTGTCAATCAGCAGCTCGAGAAAACCATCGTACTTGTCAACTTGGTTCCCACCGAGGAAAACTTCAATTCTACCACTGCATTTGCAATCTATGATAAGTTCTGGAAGAGGGAGGTTTCCTTAAACAAATCGCTATTTGGTTCCTGTGACGTGGTTTATGTTCGCTATCCAGGTTTTTTTTTTACTACTACTGACTCTGTTACAATGCAGTATCTGTTCATAACTACTTTCTCAACCTACTGAAGCACAAAGAATCAATACTGTCTCCAATTTATTTATTTATTTTTTTAAATAAACATGTACTACGATTCTTACACGTTATATTCAAGCAGGATTGCCACCATCTCCGCCTTCACTTCCTTCATCCGGTGCTTCCATTGACGACCAACCCTATCCTGGCAACAACAGAGATGGAAGTAGAATAAAGCCCTTAGGAGTAGATGTATCGAGGCCAAAAAAGAATGGTACGGGGAGAAATATGATTATCGTAATAGCTCTATCATCTGTGACAGCCTTTGTTGTTTGCGTGGGAGTTATTTGGCTTCTGTCTCTAAAACTCGGAGGTCGTACTTATCAGGCTGTGCAACCTCCACATAATTCAGCACCTTCTCACGGGAAAGCATCAGGTATATGCAAACCGAAAAAATGTTAGTGCATGAAATATATGGTTAGATATGCAAATATATGATTACCCGTGATTTTATTCTGAGTTCAATTCACAGGTGGTGTTGGCTCTTTAACGATTGGAAGTAAGCCGAGCTTAACATCAATGTCCATCAATTCGAGCCTTTTAGCTTATGCTGGAACTGCTAAAATTTTCAGTGCATACAATATAGAAAAAGCAACTGATAACTTCAATGCTACAAGGATCCTCGGGGAAGGTGGCTTTGGACTAGTATACAGTGGCTCTCTCGATGATGGAAGGGAGGTAGCGGTGAAGGTTTTGAAGAGAGATGATCGGCATAGCAGCCGTGAGTTTTTGGCAGAAGTCGAGATGCTAAGTCGTCTGCATCACAGAAACTTGGTAAAACTCATAGGGATCTGCACGGAGGATCATTGCCGTTGCCTGGTCTATGAACTTGTTCCCAACGGGAGTGTGGAATCGCATTTACATGGTTAGTATAATTCTCGGAATTTTTTTTTTGCTCAGAGTTGAAGTGCAATTCATGCCCCTTTTTAATTTGAATCTTAGGGGTTGATATGAAGGCTTCTCGGCTTGATTGGTATGCTAGAATGAAGATTGCACTCGGTGCAGCTCAAGGATTGGCGTATTTGCACGAGGATTCAAACCCCCGTGTAATACACCGGGACTTCAAGTCGAGCAATATACTCCTAGAGCACGATTTTACTCCAAAAGTGTCGGATTTTGGATTAGCTAGAACAGCATTGGATGAGGGAAATAAACACATCTCAACTCATGTTATGGGTACTTTTGGGTATGCTTTTGAGACATATATATTGCCGGTTTATATGATTATATCTATCCCAGCATTTGAATTCTCCTTTTTAAGTCTCGGTCTTAACCGTTGTGTTTCAGGTACCTAGCTCCCGAATATGCAATGACGGGCCACCTCCTTGTGAAAAGTGATGTGTATAGTTACGGTGTAGTCCTCCTCGAGCTTTTAACTGGACGAAAGCCAGTGGATTTATCACAACCCCCGGGACAGGAGAATCTCGTTGCATGGGCTCGCCCTCTCCTCACAACCAAGGAAGGTTTAGAAATGGTTATTGACCCGGGTATGGAGTCAGACGTTCCGTTTGATAGTGTAATCAAATTTGCAGCAATCGCAGCCATGTGTGTACAACCAGAAGCCTCTCACCGCCCCTTTATGGGCGAAGTCGTTCAAGCCTTGAAACTCATTTGCAACGAGTTTGATGAGACGAGAGAGCCCATGTCGAGAAGCTGCAGCCAGGAGGAACTTTGTATTGATATGGAGGATAGCAGAGAAACGGGCGAGTTTGTGGAAGCTTCACGGGCCCATGAAGCAATCTCCATATACGATTCCTCTTTCGACGCTAAGATACCATTGTCAGCTGGAGATTTGAAGAGTTCATCAGCTAGACTGGAAGCGCCAGAATCTGAGCCTATCAAGCGGGAATTCTACTCTGCTCCATTAGGAACGAGCACGAAAAGGAACTTCTGGCAACGGTTGAAAATCCTGTCGAAGGGGAGCACGAGTGAGGATGGCTTTTCATCGAATCTGTGATGAGGATGTTAAAGCCCAACTTGTGTTCTTGAAAATTGATGTCTCTTTGGATTGTTCTTTATGGGTTCAAGGCTGCTTCCAAGACAAGAATAGAAGTTGGAATATTATTCCTTGTATTAAATTTTTAGCTTTTGGAATTGGAAGATGTGATTATGTATGTGAGTTCCCCTCTTCTCCTTGGATCTTTCACAAGAGACAATCACCTGTATGTATTTCAACTACAGAGGAAAATCACTTTTGAGACATTAAATTATATGCTTGGTACGTTTGATTAGTTTAGAATTCAACATTAAATTATTGAATTTGACTGAAATATAATGAAACTAATAGTAATATAGTCAATTAGTTATAGCAGTAATATTGGAGCACCAAAGATAAGTCCAAACTAACCCAACTTTTTTGGATGACAAGAGAAACCCGTAACCGTACAAGAAGCGTAGTCCCTATTCAAAATGTAAATCATATTAAGAAAACCTATAGCCCGCAAACCACACAAGAAATGTAACTGTACTAGGAAGACCCTGTGCGACAGAGCTCAGACAGAGTATTGCAAAAATCAAACTTATAACCTTCTCGTACAAGAATCATATTCCACCGACTCGACCATCTCTTAGTAATACAGTTCGTTAATTACTAGGAGATGCAATAAGTGAAGCAAGCAAAATGTCGTGAAAGAAGTGCAAAACACCTATGGAATGAATGAATGCATGCGTGTTCCTAAGACTGAATTTAATGCAACACTTAAATGTCAGTGGTCACCTTTGCATGAATAACTGTTTGTTATCTTATCACCTCCATTTTTCCGTGGCTTAATTAAGCACATTCATGTATGGACTGCGGCGGTGCTCGGTTAGAGCATAGTTGTGATTTTTTTTCTCCAGTTTTTTGTAGGCCCCAACATTCACCTCATGTTGTTCTGCATTACGTTAGGTAAACCGAAATGTAAAAGAAGGGATCCATAATGAGAGAAAGGTTTGTTAGCAAAAACCACCAGAATACAGCTTGATAGTATATTACACATGGTTTGCCACACCTAGGGCAAATTAGCTTTGGTGGAAAGAGCCTAACTAGTAACTACTACCAATAAAACTGTGAATGAAGAATATAAGGATATGTTGTAATGGCACTGTTATTGGATATTTAGATCCAAAATCAAGCTAAGCATCACAGGCTACTCAAAAATTCCTGCTGTTGGAGCATGCATGATTCTGATTTCTGAGTCTCAGATGTACAAGCAAGCAGCTGCTGTCATCAGTGGATTCATGAAATACCTCCGCATAAAACAAAAACAAAAACAAAAAACTCCCGCTATCAGCCAGAGCATGGTTTCGATTTCCCATTCCCAATCCGCTGCCTGCATTTGTAAAACAGTAATTTAACTACTAGCAAGTAGCAACGCTGAAAATATAGCATCAGCTATGGGTCACATTGTAGTGTGAGTCCCTGCCGCCTCTTGATTGATGATTAGTAGATAATAAGGTGGACTTAGATTTAAATTTTAATGATGTGTATTGCAATCCGATTAAATGGCGCCTGGGCGCTAGGCAGTGGCTGACCGCATAGAAATTCGGCGGAATCGCCGTTCTAGGCGGTCGGTTGCCTAGGCGCCAAGTAGGTTGCCGTGGACTAGGTGGCCTAGGCAGTCGTCTAGGCGGGAGTTTAACTAATTTTAAAAAAATTAAAATTAAAATTAAAAAATAAAAAATAATAAAAAAAATACCGGTGCCTAGACTCTAGAGGGGTAAGAGGGTGCCTAGCGATTTTTTCAACCTTGGTTAACAGTTGCCAAAAACAAGACTACATGGTTGAATAAAGACTAGGTACTCACCAAAAAGCATCCTTCTTCTCTTGTGCTAGTAGTTCTTCGAAAGAAATGTCAGCAAATTCTGCATCTTCATCAGACTTTGGTTGTGTTTCCATGTGAGCACCAAACTCAATCATCTTTAAGAAGAGGGTAACAAAGAGCCAAATGGTCAGGTCAGCTATACCATAGGAATTAGGAAAGGAAAGAGATACCACAAGACAACCTCAAGTAGCAAAAGATATGATATTAATAATAATAAGCACGGATGCATGCAGAAAGAGTAAGAAAACTATATATAACCATATTGAAGAAAACAATTAAAAATAAAATAAAAATAGAGTTGAATTTAGAGTCACTAAATCCTGTCGAAGGTTTATAAAACCATCATGAATGGTAGAGATTTGCAAAAGCACATGTAAATGTTGATACCTTCTTGTATGCTGGAGAGACTTTAAGCTGCTGTTGGAGCCAATTATATACAAAAGCATCATCTTCCAGTCTCTTTTGTTCTAACTCTAGCTTGTATATCTATCTTGCACGTATTGAAAATTTGTTGGTATGTTGCACTCGAAAAAGATTATGTTGCATATTAATTGAGAAAGAAAAACCCTTTTGCCTACCTGTTGTCTTAGGCGATCCAATGAAGACCTATCAGCCCGGTACAATAAGGCCTTTGTTATTGTGAACCTTCTTTGGATAACCTCAGACCTGTTTAAAAGCATAACCATAGTTATATTTCGGCATGCAAAAAGTTTTGTTTGCCAGGCAATTTTGAATTAGAAATCAGAAACCAAGAAGAATGAAAAATTCAGCTACATAGTTAACAAAATACTGTAAATGACGGGTATCAATTGAAAGAGCTAAACAAGAATTGTAGATGAACTTCTGTAATAAAAATAATAAAAGCTAAATCAAATCAAAACTCATCTTTTTGGGGTCTAAAACATCAAGTCTGGCGTTGTTAGAAAAATATTGTGCATTGAATAAACATCCACACGTAAGTTCTATAGAAGACGCTCTTGTATACGCTTATCATCATTCATCATTGTGTGAGAAATACAAGTATACAACAGTAGCTCACAAAAAAAAAGTCAATAACCAAAAACATTGATATTTACAACTAAAGAAAATAGAAGGCCATACTTGTGTTGTAGCTCATTCCTCGTCTCCATCAAGCAATTAACAAATTGTTCAACCTGCATATGCAAATTACAAACGATTTATAAGATGTGTGAAGAAAAACAAATATAAAAAAGGTCAAACAACTAAAATCACATTGATCAAATAACAGCTCAATATTACTGTATATTTTGCCCAAAACAGCACTCACACTAAGCTATACATTTGTTCATGGTATGAAGTTCTAATGATTTGAGTGTTAGGATCCTTATATTTCAAGGAAATGCTAAACATCCATCTTGAAAATTGAAGCAATTGGGATGATGAAGTTTGATTATATTAAGAGAAACTTCAGAAACAAAAGAATTCAAATTTCAAAGGGAATAATCAAATACTTGAGATAGAAAACATATTCACAAACACATTCAAGGCAGCAAAAAAAAACATAAAGAGTACCTGAGCTAACTTTAAGGTACTGGAGGCTTTGGAGCCATGGCACCTGACAAGCTCATCGTAGTGTTGCTTAATCCTCCTCTGAGTCGCACTAGACGACGTCGTAAACGGGTACAGACATACCAATTCTTCCTTCTCCTTCTCTTTCACAACCCCAGCCCCTTCCTCCTCCCCATTCGAATCGGGTCGCTTCTTCCTAGCCCGTTTCTTCTTCTTTCTCTTCTCCTTCACCGCCTCCCTCCTCGCAACTGAACCAGAGCCGTTCTTCTCCGCTTCACTGCCCTCTCCGTCACTAAACTTCTCCCATTTCGGCGAGCTGGACGGCAAGATCTCTAGAAGGAATGAATGGGACATCCGGGTCGGGTCAGGCCCGCGCTCATCCTCTATCTCCTCAAGCTCCGGAACCTTATCCACATCGGGCTGTTCGAGATGAACCGGAGCTTTCCGGGGCTTGGAGTAGAGGGAGAAGGCGAGAAAGGAAAGAGTGAATGTAAACAGAAGCAGAAGAGCAAGCATGAGGTGGAGATGCTGATTACGATTACGGATAATGTGAAGGACGAGGCAGCCCAATCGCGAGAGGAAGTTAGAAGGAGAAGAAATGGACGCGGCGAGGAGAGAGAATGAGAGTTGCAGAGTAGACGCCGCCGCCGCCATGGGAGCGCTTTTCGGAGCGTAGCAGAGCGGTGGAAGAAGAGACAAATGCACAGATTTTAGAGTATCCGGTTTGGGAATTGCTTTCTTCCCTCTCCTACGTAAACTCTGCTTAGCAAATTGCTAAAGAAAGACAAAACAAAGGGACCTCCTTTCTTTCTTTCTATAAACACTATTTTAAATCTTGAGTAAATTATCCAAATCATGAATTTTATGAGCGGTACCAAATCAAATCTACTATATATATAATATATTACACCTTTGCTTATTGCGCCTTGATCCGAATTATCGTTTCAAAATTTCACCCCTGTGATTAACTAGGGGTGTAAACAAATCAAATAAAAAAAAAATTGATTTGTGATTCGAATTCGAATGTGTTGATTCGAATTCGAATGTGTTGATTCGAATTCGAATATTTCGAATACGAATCTGAATTCGAATACTTTTTTCGATTCGAATATTTCTCGAATACGAATTAGAGTGTATTCGATTCGAATATTTTATGCTATTTAAATATAATTTTTTATTATATTTTATCTTAATTTATTAGAGAATTTTTAAGCTATGCATTTTGAATTCGAATATTCGAGTCGAATCAAATATATTCGAATAAACTGATCGAATCGAATACGAATCAAATTTGATATTCGAATATTAAACGAATACGAATACGAATACGAATATTTGAATATATAGTCGAATTCGAATCGAATGAATACTGAGATATTTGATTCGTTTCGATTCGTTTACAACCCTATGATTAACTAAGCTGTCTATGCGTACTTAGATTACTTTTAGAGCATCCATAATAGTGGAGATATTTTGTAATTTTTTAGATGTTTTTGTAAGTGTGATTAAGAAAGAAAATATATGAGGGAGAGAAAAAAAAAACAACCAAAAAGTTAGAGTGGCAGCCAGTTGGCGGCCACTCTGACGCGCCTCAGCGAGCGCGTGGGGAACACGCGCCCGCTGGGACGCGAAGTGCGCCCAAATGCGTTAGTTAGGCGTTTTTTTTTTTTAGTGTACTCCTACAAAGGGTAAACTTTCTTCATAATTTGATTTCCACACCAGTTTTTTTCACTGACATAAACCCTAAACAAACTACTGATGTGCATGCTCTTATTGAGCCATGGGGTAATCATCTTGGTGTGTTGCTTTTATAATATTCATGACTCTTTATCTTAATTATGTGATAAAAGTAAGATTGATGATTTCTTTTGTAAGATAATGACTAATTGTGTGATTGGTGGGATGATGATGGCCCTTAATTATAGTAATTACATTTAATGCTATTCAATTTATAGTAATTATTATTATAATTATCTTTCAATGATTATTTTAACTGAATTAATTTTGTGAGTTGGACGGATAATATGTGTTTTTGCGTTGTTAATGTCATTAGTGTTATTCAACCGTTGGGCGAGTACTATCACAACATGTTTATACTCGAACTCTCATCTTATTTCTGAAAGAAAATTTTAAGTGAAATTTTGCATTCATGTTATACTAATGTCCGGAAGAAGTACGTCTTAAATTTAAGTAATGAAAAAGGGGGAGATTCTAATTTCTAAGTACCCTCACATTCTCAATTAGGAAAGTGTGCTATTTTCAATTGTACCAACAGCTTCCAACAAGGAGAGGTGAAGAAAAGAAAAATGTACTTTCCCATTTTGACCTTTAAAATTGTTGACCACACCACTACTACTATGATAACTCAGGATGGATGTAGGGCAAAGATTGCAACCATCCAAAGAAAGGCATTATTCTGGTGCAATAAATTATGCATGGAGTACAACTTTAACAGAACTTCAAAGAAGAAAGCAACTGAGACAACATTTCAACCAAGAAAGCTTTGATGTTATTATTACAACATTATATTCCAAGCATATTTTACACCTTACAATGGGCAAAGCAATGAGAATATTGCTTTTTTTTTTATACATTGAACCAAAAAAAAAAGGAATAAACTTTTGAACTTCCTGAGACCCAAAAGCTTCTTAACACACCAATTTGCACATGGACTCACTTAGTTTCGTCTCGATGTGCATTTCAACCTTCAGCTGCAAATGGCGGGGGCGACTAATGTATGTATATACTATATATACATGTTTCTTTGGCCGGAGGGCGTGTTGCATATCTGTACAACTTCATCCGCGGGCCAAAAGACAATATAGTACTTCAAAGAATCGAGTTTTGCAGAATACATATATATATATATATATATGTTTGTGTTGTGGGGTGATCGAGGAACTAAACTGATACCGTGTTTATTCCTTTATCCTATGATGTTGCAAATCATTAACTGCAAACAACTTCCACCGAGAGTTTCTTCATCACGCTGGGGCACGGATCGCCTCCAAAGGCCTCGGGCGTTACAGGTACTGTGCACGAGTTCCACCCGATGCAGTACTAGAAACGTAAAACGCAATTAGGCATTGAATCCAGTGGATGTTTTAGCAAGATTATTTTGACAGTTAGCTGTGAATGATCATTCTGTTATGGTAGTTGGTAAAAACGAGAGATTCTGGATACCTTTTGGAAAATATCGTAGGAATGGAAGGCGTGGCAGGTGCCTTCGCTGAAGCTTCCACAGCTCCCCCGGGGGGTTCCAAAGCTCGCGAATTTGATGGAGGTAATCTTCTGGCCAGCGCCACATGAGAGGTGAGCCTTAGGCCTGAGCGGTCTGGTGGCTTTGCCCGAGGCTTGCATCTCCCAATTCATCAGCTGCGGTTGCCATTCGTATATGTCTGCACACACACTAGCCACCTCTCGTTTCACCAGCGAGACTCCGTATGGATTCCCTCCCCATTCCTCGAAAGCAACTAACAGATTCCCAGTCGGGCGCAGCCACGAACGAGGGACATGATACCTGAACCACACACTTTTGGTGAACAACTGGACTATAATGTACATGAGCCAAACCACACTAAAAGATTGAATCCAACCAATTAGCTAGTCTAACTCATGGCCTTATAAACCCATATATTCTCTCTTAGTTTATACTCTTAACAATTAGTACTTTTATCTTACCATCTTTGCGAAGCCTCTCCACATTTACTCAAACATTTTTTCTCGTCAAACCAACCCGCATAGTTGCAGGCCCCACAGGCACCACCAGACGCTTTGTATCCTGGCCAATAGCGCCCAACGCTTTGACCATTTATCCATATCTGTCCCTTACCCATGGTATTCATATCCAACGCCAAAGGCTCATTTCCTGCAGGAGCATCGAATGTCGTCTGGAAAATACAAAAATATATAATTCAGTATAGGGATATGTTGAGTTTGTCTCATATAGGCATTAGGAATATGAGTTTATCTTATACTAGAAATAGGAGTTAAGCAGGTAGACCCATTGTACAGAGATTAGATGCCTATAAATATATTAGTTGTATCCCTAAGGGGTTGTATCACCACTATCACCATCACAAGTAATAAAAGAATAATTTCACCCCGTGGACGTTGTTCTTGTTAATCTCAACAGGATACAAGTCACATAAAACAAATTAATAGCGAGAAAAGGGGAAGAGTAAAGCGGTGCACACCTTATACCATGTCAAAGGCTGTTTCTGAGCGATGAAAGAACCTTCAACCCACTCGACAGAAGAGCTCCCGCTAAGGGAATGAAGACTCAATACTTCTCCTTTAAGACCAATCTGGCAAGGAAACACCTCTGATTATTAAGTAAATAAACAGGAACGAGCAATTAATTTTACGGTTAAATATCTTATAGCGATTAACGAACCTTGTAAGACCATTTTTGCCAAGTTAAATCTCTCTTCCCCTCATTAAGACCACTAAGTGAAACAGGGCCAAGTACACCAGCATTCCACGTTTCAAAATGAGGGCCAACATTCTGGGTAAATACACATGTATAAGTAAGACAACCTATATATATATCATGAAATAAATTGTACAAATCATATCGAATTACAAATGGAGACATATTATGGGTTTTGGAAGAGAGAACAAACCGGAAGGCCAACAGCGATGCTGAGGAGCGAAATTTTGTTGACACCAGCTCTCAGATATACCGCTTTACTGAATGTTACTTTCGGGTTCTCTAAACTTCCATAGGAAGTTCCTGCAACAATGCATACCTACTAATTTAGCGTTTATGAAACATTCAAAGCAAAAACTATCTAGCTGAATGGTTAATGGATAGAATTACGGTTGTTAACTGAAACGCATGTACGAGATTGAGTCATAGGCTCAAACAAAACCGAAATACATACCTACTAATTGACCGTTGATGAAAACATGCAAAGCATGGCCAGCTGAATAGACCGTAAGCCAAGGCCACTTTCCACCTTTCAGAAACGCTTCTCTCGGATCAATCCTGACACTGGTGTTGGAAATCATGACATAAAAACGAAACTATAGTTAAATCACCTAAGTTAATTTAATCATTTTTTCAAACATTATGGGGGCGTTTGGTAAATAGTGCTGATAGTTGTTAGCTAATTGGGTTAGTGGGTTTAACTAGTTGATAGCATTAGCTGATTGTAAAAAAATGTTTGATAAATTAGCTGTTAACTTATAGCTGATTATATGCAAAATGACGCTCTCAAAAAGCTTATCAAAAATGAGAAGCTTTTTGAATTTTAGAGTTTTGGAGCAATAAGCTGTTACAGAAAGCTAATTAATCAAACACTAATATTGGCTGTTTAACCAAGTCAAACAGCTAATAGTGGTCAAATAAGCCAAAATTGGCTGATAAGCTAACTATATTACATTATTACCAAACATGGCCAATATGTAAATAGACTATATTCAAGCTGTTAAAAATGCACTTACTCTGTCATATACCACAAATAATCGGAAGCATCTCTCGTGGTATTTATCTGCTCCAACAGCCCGGTAGCTGTAAATGTATTATCGTCATATGATGATGTCTCTTCATTATATGACTGCCAAGAGAACCCGCGACTGACGGGAGTCATTTTCATTCGTGAGCTTTGAGCACCGACCTTCATGTGAAACTCGGTTAATGTAAGTAACTCTTCACAGTGATGTCGAGGCAAAAAAAAAACAAGAGTTCTTGTGCTCACCCGTGCTGTATTATATACAGTGTTCTTGCAGTCGGGAAGTATGCTGATGGACCAAGGCGGCAAGTTGTAATGCATGTTCCCGAAAGCCACTTTAGCAAAAGAATGTTGGTTATTATTTGCGAGGAACGCAGCACAAGCTCCCGATTTCGACTTGAACACACGAGCCTGCGTTTAGTAAAAGGTTAGTATATATTCGCTTGAGTTTCAAACACGATGAGATGAATTGAGAGAAATTAAACGAAGTAATCGATCCAAACCTCTTGATAGTTGCCAAGCGATATTACGTTTGGATCTCCCGAGACTAAAGCCGGTTCGCATAGCTTGATTGCTCTATGCAGATCTTTCAGATGACCCCATTTAGGCTCCCGTAATAAACCTTTGACATATCAAGTAAACGTTGCAATAAGTTTATCTTAACACTTTATGGCCCCGACTTTCAGACTCTTCCCAATACAAAATTATATCATTGGCCTTGAAATCACCTTTTGGACACGAAAAATTTATTGTTAGTTAACTAAGAGCTGTTCTTACCGAATTCATCAATAGGAGCATCATAGTCGTAACTAGTGGCAATAAAAGGCCCTCCCGCCGTCCTGCCAAAGTTTGTGCCCCCGTGAAACTGGTCAAAAACAATAACAAAACAATTAGATGCTGAAAAAGCAGAGAAAATTATATGAAAAAAAAAACAGGAACGTACCATGTAATAATTGATAAATGAGCCGCCTTTCATTATGAACTTTGCAACAGCATAAGCCAAATCCTCAGCTGGACGGTAAGGTACTGGACCTCCAAATTCAGTAAACCTGCAATAGTATTCAACGAGATTATTAGCAACCTCAAATATCGAATTTGGCATTTAACACATATATTTACAAGGGAAAAAGACTAAAGTAAGGTTACCAAGCAGTCCAGGCTTCGGTCCACATCTTGGGTTTATAAGCCTTATTTGGCGAAAACCAGTCACAATAGAAACCATTGCAAGCATTAACCTGGGAGAAAACGAATAGACATCCCAAGATGTTTCAATGAATGGAAAACGACAGTACAAGAAAATAGATGTCTACACATATTCAGACCTCAAATTTCAACATAGAACAAACAAAATAAAAGGACGAGAATTGTGAGAAGAAGTGAAAGACAGGCCATGTGAGGGGCTGGAAGACATCTATAGATTCATATAAACCATTCACGGGGACACTAACTGTCACATAGAAAAACAGTGCCCCAACAACCATAGCAGGAAACATTGCACAAAGGTCATCTCCAATGAAATTAAGAAACATTATAACCAGAAAACCAAAGAATCGAGAATAATGGCAGCGAGACTTACAACTGGATCGGGGGCATCATCTTGCTTACACATGACCCACGGGACACCTGTGCCCAGGCCCACCGCCATTTTGGCTGCCCACTGTGCATAGGATTTTCCCGGTGCACCCAGTTCATACTCCATCGGTCCATATTCATTCTCGATCTGCCATTCGATTTTTTTAGCATATTGTACAGATAAAGTAGGCATAACTTTGTTCCCTGAGCAATACATTAGTTTTACCTGAGATAAGATTATTGGACCACCCTGAGATTCATACAGTCTTTGTGATTTCATCATATTAACAATCATTGTTGTGAACTTCTGCATTGCAGCCTGTTTGACAGATAATTTTAGAACAAGAAATTAAAAAAAGAATTATCACAACCAAGATGAGAGACTTTCAATATGACTAACTAACCTTGAAAGGTCCATTATCTGTCCTGAAGCTGACACCAGGAACATACTTTAGCCAAACTGGGAAACCCCTGAAATTGAAACAAGAAACAAAAAATGCCCAAAGACCCTTCAACCCTGTGCGCAAAATAGAAAACTTTTTCCAATAAAGTTACAATTTTTATTTTCTTGAAATATTACCCAAAGTTCCATTCAGCGCAGGCATATGGTCCAACTCTGAGATGAACATAAAGTCCAGCTTGCTGTGCCAACTTAATGAACTTCACTAAATCATACCTCCCTTCGAAATAATACTGCAAATCCCCCCCAAAAAAATTAATCAGTAAAAATGCAAAGAAATATAAATATTCAGGGAAAAAAATAAGCTTTTTTTTTTTTTTTTTGTCTTGCTTACTTTGCCAGGTTGAGGTTCATGTCCATTCCAGAAAACATATGTCTGGACTACATCCAAGCCTCCTTCTTTTGCTTTCTTAAGAAGATCCGGCCACATCTGTACCCAGAAATAATAAGCAAGACAGAGAGCTCAGAAATACTGTTCTCCTAGAATCCTAATAACAAAACAGTAACAGAGGAAAAAAAAAAACATTGGATAAACCTAGGAATTACATTGGACAGAAATATACCTCAGGGGTACTTCTAGGATAGTGAATGGATCCAGAAAGAAGGATCTTTCTTTGGCCATTAATAATGAAAGAATGCTTATCATAAGATACTGAAGCAGTTCCAAGAGAAACCCAAGAAGTGCCCAATAACACCACCAACAATACCACAATCACATCCCACATTTCATGTTTCCATCCCATGTTTAATGTTTTTCCTCAAACTGCCACCCCTCTCTTCTTCTTCCTTTCTGGGCAATGCCCCTTCTTCTTTAATTTCCCACTTTATTCTATGCTCTTTTTTTTTCTCTATCTTCTAGAGAGAGAGACAAAGAAGGGCTGCTTTTGTTGTCTTGAGATTTTTTTTTTTATTCCTTTTTTAAGCGTACAGATGCAGAGAAACGTAGTGTGGTGAGAGAGTGTGTGCGTGATTAATTGTAGCTTGAAACTTGGAGACATTAGTGCTCTGCAGCTGCCATTTTATAGCACCAATGGAGGTCCGAGTGGGCCCCATTTTTGGACATTTTACGCATCAAATGGGGCCGCCACCCGCCATGGCAAGCATTGCTTGTAGCCGCTGAGGTTAAAAATCCGTTTAGTTCGGTAAGCTTATCTGATTTGATTCGCGTACGTTGAACTATTAATTTGATTTGATGCAGGTAAATAAACCCCCTATCAACATGTCTATGAGGATATTTTTGTCTTTTAACATACGTTAAATCGTGAGTCTCACTATCAGTCTTCAAATCCACTGAGATTCGATATCATGACCTCTCACATGAAAAAAATCACTACATGCCATCTGAGTACAAGATGTTTGGCCTTCACTTAATTTACTGGGTTTTGTAGTTTTGATACGTACAAACTACGAAGCGAAGCGTACAAATAATCAAGATTCTCCACTGATCCAAGCATAGCCGATTTGTTTCTGTATTGCATTAACCAAACACTGCACGGAGCGTTGGCCCTCTCCGTGAGGGAATCATGACGAGTGATACGAGCGTGTCCTCACGCTCCGCCGCAGAGAGTGACAAGAATCTTACTCGATAACTACGAATTTATTTGGTCCGCATTGCCGCGTTTTGTTTGAATCAATTTTTTTAATACAACAATTTAACATAGAATTCTACTACAAAGAATTCCAAAATTCTACTCCCTTATTTATACTTCCTGAGGTGGTAAATCAGGATTGATTATTTTCATCAGGTAGGTTTACAGAAAAATATCTACATCAAAAGCATGTGAGAGGAAGTACAAGTTGAGATTTAAAATTGAAGTACACCAAGTATTTTCTAAGAAAAAAATGAGATTCTTTTTAATCATTTTTTTGTCCCACTATTTATGTATTTTTATTACTTAATGGTTAAAGTATTATTGACTCTTTATTTTTTTTTTATTTTTTTTTTCAGTATGACTCTATGACGTGTTTGGTTTCTCACTAACAAAGAATACTAAAACTCGTCACATTTATGTTGAACAATTGAATGTGTAAAGCTTATTAGTTAATGTATACACAAAATTATAATTTGTAGTTCTAAATCGTTAGGTTATATATTAAGAGGTTGATGAATCTAAATTGTCACTTTGTAAAAATTTAAAAGATGTATGTATGTATGTATGTATTTTATGACTTTGTATGTATGTATGCATATACTATTATTAAAAAAATTATTTCAATATAACTATAATTTTAATGTTGAGTACTAATATTAGGTATTTATTTGTGCACATACCACATAGAAAAGAAAATAGTATTTTGTATCAAAGTACAATCTATAGTAGAAAGTTTAATTTGACTAATTAATTTAAAATAACTCGTGATTTTTTATGTTGTATTGTTAAAAGAAAATTGGAATTAATTTCTATCATGTCAATTAATTAATAATTAGGTATAAATCTCTTCCTATCTAATAAATGAGTCTAATTTGGCTGCGAGCATTGAAACTTGAAAGTCACGGCTAAAGAAGTATGAATATGTTAAGGACTTTATGCTCAGATGACATGTAGTACGTGATTTCTTTTATATGGGAGGTTATGAGATCAAATTTTAGTAGAGGTGTTGTTGACTCTTTCTGCTTCATTAGGTAGCATTCAAAAATAAAAAGTAGGAATATGTTAAATTTGTATTGTACGGAGCACTTGTTGATTAGCAAATTGCACCTAAAAATTGTGAGCATTTTGTGTCTGAAATATTAATATCAAAATTATTTTCATCATTATTTTTTAAAATTTTGATTCTCATTCTCGAAGTTATACCAAACACATAAATTACTTTTACTACAAACCATTTTAATTATTAAGGGGATGTATTCAATAAAGACTTTTATAAACTTTTAAAGAATTAAAAAGTTTAGTGATATTTGATCTAGAATTTAAAAGTTGGATGATTCCAAATTCCAATTTTGATTTTGATTCCTATTTTTGAACCAAATTCCACCTTAGTCTTTAATCTTGTAAATCAGTCAATGAATTGTCAAATTCACTTTAAAATTAGATTCTCTCCTCTTATCCATATTATCGTGGGATTTTAAATTTGCAATTTTGATTTTCTTCTCCCAAAAGGTTAAATTCCAACCTTAATGATCCCAATCTTAATGACCCCATATTCCGGCTTGAGAGAGCGTATGGGATGAGGTAAATCACGGTGACTCAATGACTTAGTAGACAAGATCAAATGTCGGTGTGCACGAGGAATCTGTCTACTTTGAACATAATCTCTACAATGTCACAGGTTTGAACCTTAGTCTCTTCTTTCAAATATTGCTTACTGAACTAGTCAGTTAAACCCGTACAGAAAAATATTATGGAGACTATAAACATGAGGAACGACCTACCCTTTCACTATCGGCAAGCAAAATGAAACATAAAAATGGTACGTTGGGTTAACTTGAAAGAGAAAGAAAAAGAGGAAAAAGGTCTCCTAGATTGAATAGCCCCTCATCTCTCTCTTATTAAACCTGCAAGCAAAGCAATGTAATGAGTTGCATGCACTCCACCATATATCACCTTTCTTCAAGTCTTTCAAACATTACAATTGCCAATAAATTATTTTTAATTTTAATTTCATAATACCACTCTGTGACTACCAGCAAAACAAAGTTTATGAAATTATAGATATATTTTATTTTATGTTGATTGATCTGACTACCTGAGCTATATATGTCTCGGAGCATTAAATTATATTATTATTTCTTATAAATAATACTGACATTATTGTTCATAAAAGAAATTAAATAGCGATTATAGAAAAAAAATTACACTAAAAAAATATGATATAGACTTGAGTTCATAATCTTTATCAACGACCATGACTCTTAGTTACGAAGCCAAAGTGGTCATTGGCGCAACATCACCTCTCCATGCATCATTATTACATGCACCAACGAACACCTTATTTATTTATTTTCTTACATGGATCAGAAAATGAAACAAAATAAATATCACATCTTATAAATTTATTCCAGTTAATTCTCATGTCTTTATCAATGAAGGCTCATCAACTAATTTAATTTTTTTTTTTTTACTAATGCTAGAAATCAATAGATTTCCGACCACCCAAGTAATCGGAAATGGCCTTAATCCGGTGGCAAACACTTGTTTCGACCACTTTTTTTCAATCAATTTGGGTATTCGGAAAAACCCTCGTCGCTATTTTTAACCGAACAAAAAAAAAAAAAAAAACCTAAATTTGTCAACAGATCGAAAAAAAATTCATATGTAGGTATTAAATGGGTAGATTAGTTAAGTGAGTAGTTAAGCTTGCTTATCTTAAATTGTGTTATGATGGTGACTTCAAACTTTTCCAACTAAAAAAACATTAATGTCCATCATGACCATCTTCCATCTTCTATTTAATCTTTTTTTCCCTTTCTTATTACGATTCCCCTATATAGTGAATATATTTATATTTATTGTAATTAATTAAAAATCAATTAGGATTTAGGTTTTTTTCCTAAAAAAAAAAAAAGGATTTAGGTTTTTTTTTTTTTTTTTTTTTTTTTTTTTTTGGTTGCAGAAGTGCATCAATTTGAGTAATTCCTTTTCACATAAGTTTACCTTTTTCAATTAAAAATTATAGAGTAGATATTTAAAAAGCACGTATTAACTAAGTATTATAATTATCATTATTATTATTATTATTATTATTATTATTATTATTATTATTATTATTATTATTATTATTTGTTTCAATATTAACAAATGCTACATGTACTAAATTTATAGTCAAAACCAACAATTTTTTTGGGATAGAGAGCATAACTATATTGTTTTTTTTTTTTTTTTTTTTGAAGAAAAACTTAGGACCAGTAATCTCATACATATCATCAGAAATCGACAACATGTCCTAAAATGAGTGGGCGAGTGAATGGAGCATGATTCTTGTACCAGAAGGTCGTGAGTTTGATTCTTAACAACATTTTCTCGATTGAGTCTGTCGCCCACAAGTTTCCCTCGTTATTAAGAAAAAATCGATAACCAAAGAAATTAATAAATTTATTACAAACACAGAGAAATAAACAAAAATTGAGGGGAGATATATAAACCAAACCCTCAAAAAAAGGACATAAACCCACATAAAAAACAACTAATTAACAACAAAACTTTCCTTTGTCCTTTATTTTTTTCATTGACTAACAGGGAATAAATGCTGATAGCTAGGACTCGATCGTGGGATGATACAATGTTATTATTAATATTTTTCATGGAAGTGCAGTAATTATGGAAATAAAATTGTTATTTTTATGGGATGATATAGGATCAAATAGAATAATTATACAATTAATAATTTAAATGGATGGATATATGAGATGCGCATGACCTGGCCTCAAAGGTTTAATGAGAGGAAATATTTGATGAAGCCAATTTTAAATAATTGATGTTTTAATGCATGATTGTGAATGGAGGATTAGAAAGTCAACTTATTAGTTGTTTGATAATCAAAAATTTTCATTTCATGATAAAATAATAATTATTGAATATTACGTTTTATTTATTAAATCTAAGTATAATATTCTATAATATATTGGATATAGTACACCTAGCAATTTTTAATTTTTCCCTTAAAATCTCAATTATTGCGATGATCCAAATTTTATGGAGATTATGGAATTGATTAACATGATACCATATCCCAAAACATGAACTAATGATATATGGTTAGATCGAGCAAAAATAATTGAAGCATGTGCTCCATTTCAACTAAAAGCCTAAACTTATAGTTGGATTGCACTTTGAACTCATGGCCTTTGGTCTGACTCTAATACCAAATTGAAGCATATGCTCCATCTCAACTAAAAGCCTAAGCTTATAGTTGGATTACACATTAATTGTTATATAATGCTCAACAGATTGGTTTATTTTCTTAAATAAAGTATCATATTGTAATCTTGTAATAGGAATAATTTATTCTTTTCTTCCATTTCACCTCTTAACACCATTCTTTCATATTAAAGAAAAAAAAAAAAAGGAAAATGCCCCGAAAGGGGTGATCACAAGAGCGGGATTGACCCATTCACGTCATCAGATAATTGTTGCAGGTTTCCTGCGTTAGCCAAAAATAATAATAATAAAGGTAAAAATTATAAAATAACCCCCTCCCCCCTTCCAAATTAAAAAAAAAAAAAAAAAAAAAAAACAAAACAAAACAAAACAAAACAAAATAAATAAAGAAACGTGATATGGAAGGAGGTGCATGTATGATAAACCTTTGCTGGCAATTTATGACTTAGATAAACATAGAGGCCCCCATACAGCCTGCAAGCAATTAAGCTTTCAATGCATATATAATTTAGAAGAGATGGTGAACCACTACTGCACTACAAGTCTAAATCACACCTAAATTATGAATTATTATTCCTAACCAAAATTTGACTTCAATTGCCAGTGAAAACACAAATGGAATCATTGATACATCATAACAAATTAAATATGTTTTTTTCCTTTTTTTTGCATTAACTAAATTTTATCAGCTTAAAATAAAGTTACACACATATCATATATACAAATAAACTATATGTTGTACCATGTAAATCTCGTCATTTACATAAAAACAAAAAACATAGTTAAGAAATAAATGAATTTCAATTATGCATTGGAATTGCTCAATTATATTATATATTTTATTTTTCTTTTCAACGTATAACAATTGAAAATCGTGTGATTTGTACTAGGTGTAAGAATTTTATATAAAAACTAATTCTCAATGTATGAATTGCATCCCTACATGCAAGATAGATTCTTTTAGCCACGCATTTCAATTTATTAAAAAGTGAAAATGTATTTATAGCAGTCGTCTAAAGTCTAAACCCATATTTAATTATTTATAAATATTAAATATTAATAATAATAAATGTGCGGTCCAACTATGATCGAGTTTAGACTTTTAGTTAAGATAGAATACATTATTTAAATATAATTAATGCATATTCAAAATCTTTAAAAAGCTCAATTTTCTCAACTTCATATGTATATCTTGAGAATCGATTTCTCATTCACAAAAGTATCCATTGTAATTTGGATATATAAATATATGAAATTCTTCATCTCAACTAGATAATTTTGACTCGACTCAAATCAGAAGCGGTTCCCACTCAATACATGGCCTCATGACCACTCACATGTTATTTTTGCTAATTTTTCCAACATGATACCTTGATACAACCATTCATGATATGTTTGGTTTGCCCGCATGGGTAGCTCAACTGGTCATAGAGGTGAAACTTTGGAAGAATGACCAGGGATCGAGCAACCTCTCAAAGTGAGGGGGGCTCCTTGTGCGCAGTGAGCACCGGTCTAGCCTCTGTGGTTCATGTTCAGTTGAGTCACCATGATTTACATCCTCCCAAATACTTTGTCGGGCCGGGGTGTGAGGGACCCTTAGGGTTGGGGTTCAGCCTTTTGGAAGAATGATATGTTTGGTTTCACAACGTACTATGAGAACAAATATTGACAGTATTTGGGGTAATCCCAGCTAAGATGGCAAAGGTTACAAACTTGTAACCACAAAATCACGAGTTCAAATTTTCACCTTCTTAATTTGAGCCGGTCAACTATGATTGACCACAAACAGATTTACCTTTTTGTGGTCATTTACCAGTTAGGATCACAAGACGATCTACCCAATAGTGTTGCAGATTTCCCTCGTCACCTCCAAAAAATGTATTTAATACAAAAAAGTTCATGCGCCACAATATAAGTCCCTATTTTATTTATTATTATGATCTTCAATTAAAATATTTATAGGGCGTGCAGAGGTCATATATCTAGAAAATATGATGGCAGGTGAGAAAATGACATGATTCACATGGGATGAAGTTGTTTAATTTACCCTACCTATAGGAGGCTGCAGTGGCTGTTGCTTTCAAGATGGTGTGTTTTTAAGGTCAGTGGGGATGAAGAAATTAAACGAAGTAGTCAAAGTACCGATCAGAGGGACATTAGTAGTAGTTACAATAATGTCACATTTTCACAAAAATATATAATGTTGCCTGTCTGTCTAACATTTGATCAAACACTCAAAATCAAGAAACAACTGGAGCCATCTGATTGTTCGATGAGTGCTTAATTTGTTGGATTTCAACACCATAATTATGGTAAATGGTAGGATTTCCACATTTTACTTTGAGTTAATATCACAAATGAAATCAGCTTGGTTGGCGTGAGTGGTCGTGCGAACGGGAAAAACCAATCTAGCCCGTACTTTACCCCTTAATTGGGCCATTTCAGTGCGAACGGGGATTAGTTTGAGTATGTTCGACTAGAACACGTACCTTAACTTTCATTTTTTACCATAAATCATTTCTGTTAAATGAGTGTTAAATCTAGGAGTATTATCGTCAATTAATTAATGTGATTATGATTACTTTTTTTAGAGAATTATTTGAGCTAATTTAGTATGATTATGATTACTTCTTTTTAGAGAATTATATGGCAACATATAATTAATTTTAAATATTAATAAAAATTAAGTTAATAAATATAAAAATTATATTTTAAAATGTAAAGTAAAATTTTATAAATATATAAATTATTCTCATATTGTTAAGCTAAAATATTTTTCTTCTTAGATTAATAAATCTCTAAAGGGTAATTATTTATCATTATTTCATAAGTATAATTATCTGATACTTATAGTACATATCAAATAAATCCTAGATTATACAATTTTGTGGTATACGTTGATAAATTACAATAAATAAATACTTATTTGAAAATCTAATGTGACAGCCACGCGTCCCGCGGGTGCGTTACAGGTACTCAACTAGCACCGATTCGACACTGACTTTTTTTTAATATTTTTAAATCAAGTTTGTTTTAATTTATTTTGTTTTTCTCTTCCCTTCAATATTCTTTTTCCTAATCACACTTACAAAAACTCTTCAAAAATCACAAAAAAAAAAAAAAAAAAAAAAAAAAAAAAAAAAAAACTACACTATTATGAATGCTCTAAGCTTTCTCAATTATCGTTGTATAGTCATTTACCAATAACGTCACACGATTAACTTTACTCAAAGCACACCTTTTAACATTTTAATCTTCAAATCAGTGGGGCTAAAAATTTTAATTTAGGACTGCATAAAGTTTGAAGGCATGGCATATACAAAAATGGTATACATACAAGAATATAATCTTTAGTGCACTTACTTTTCTAGTGGTCTAGTGGATCGATCGAGTCGAGTGGATATATACCAACGAATATTAATATTGATCAATTGTGGCTTTATTAATTCCTCTTCTTTGCATGCCAAATTCATACATCCTTCGTAGGGTTGGAATCCAAATGCTAGTAAAACTGAGCTTATGAAACTAGTTTAGGTTGATTGGTTAGATAAATTGTGCCTCAAGAACATAATTATTAGTGTATGCGTGAAAACAAAAATACTATTTTTTTTTAATTTTTATTTTTTAGTGAAGCGTACAGGGGTGACCACGGTTCGGTTCAAACCGAATCGTGAACTGTTGAATCGAAACCGGAATCGAACCCTCTGTACGGTTCCGGTTCCAAATCGAAAAAAATTAAAAATTATAGTGTTTTTTTTTTTTTTTTAAATAAAAAATAAATTCGGTTAGAATAGGCGGTTCCAACCGGAACCGTCGGTTTTGAACCGGAACCTTACTATAAGGTTCCGGTTTGTCCATTTGCGGAATTGGAACCGGTGATTCCGAACCGAAATCGGAACCGCAGTCACCCATAAGCGTATGTGAATAAATTTGATTTTTTTTTGAATGCTACTGATTTGAGAAGCGACAACTATGTTACTCGACCACAAGGTTTTTGGCAATAAAATTTCATTAATAATTACAAAAATTATCAAATATTAATGTGATGTGTTGCCATTATTTATAAGTAATCAATAAATGTAAAATAAGATAAAAAAAATATAAACATGACATATATATATATATATATATATATATATATATATATATATATATATATATATATAATGTTTATATTTTTTTATCTTACTTTACATTTATTGGTTACTTATAAATAAATCAATGGCAACACATCACATTAATATTTGATAATTTTAATATGCTATGTGTACTCTCATTTTCTAATCCCAACTTTACTCCCACAGATTAATCTTGATATAGACATTTGTATTAGAATCCACGTGAAAACTATTTTGGCCAGCAACACCTAATGTGGGTGGATCCTACTGGTGCATGCACTTTTAACCCCACACTCATACACACACATATATAATGATCGAATATCATGCACCAAAATAAAATAATTTTTTTAACAAATTAAACTATATATATATATATATATATATATATATATATATATATATATATATATATATATATATATATATATATATTGCTTAAAGATATGCAGTGTCTTTGTTCTTAAGAAATAAGAATAATAATGATGGATTTCTTGAACCGCTTTCTGTTCACACTTTTAGGAGCCTCCCGACAGTCGTTGGATTAACATTTTAAATCGCACAAATTAAAGGCATCTCCTTTTATCCTATGATATAATCTATTATTTTAGTTCCTAGCCACAAAAAGTTTTAGCGGTGGCTATTTTCATTCTTTTATTTAAGGAATATTTGGTCTTTGTTTACTTAAAATGCATGTCATTTTGTAATAATTTATTGTTAGTTGTAGTGGAGTTTTAATAATTTTTAATTATTATATATTCTATATTCATTTGTTAAGTAGTAATTATTTGTAATACATTTTATATTTATTATTGCATCTTTAATTCCGTCGCTGAATTGTATGTACCATACCTCTAAAAGATGGAATAGTTGACCTGAAAGTTTAAGGCTACTCATACCAAGACCAAGATTCCTTGACGTTTGGCTAAAGACAACTACATCCATAGGTTAGAAAATCTACCGTGTTCGACGTAAGAGGATATATTCTAAAATAGAGAGATGTATTTAACCATTTATGTAACTTTAAAAAAAAAAAATTACAAGCAAATACATCTACTTTTTATTTTTAGGATATGAAATTTTATATACCATATTATGAAATATCTAATATTTTAAAAAAAGTTTAAAACATCATCAAATTGTTGATATGTAACGATGCAATTCACCGTTACATATCAACAATTGCACTTGTAGTTGTAGTTGCACAATGCACTTTCAAATTTTCATTTTTGAGTACACATAACGGAGAATTACGTAAATTTGTAATTTGTTGCACAATGTACGTTTAAAACTAATTTTGAGTCACATTTACCTACCAACGATTGCATTTATAATTATTACACGATACATGCTTGCAATTCTCACAAAAAGCATAGTTCTCACTGGAATCTGTCTTTAAAAATGTGCTAAATGATGATATTTGAGACATGTTTAATTTATATATTGAAAACAAAGATGATCATGCATGTATATGTTATAATTAAATTTAACTCTTTAATTATAACCTTAAAAATTTTAATTATAAAAATGTGCTAAATGATGATATTTGAGACATGTTTAATTTATATATTGAAAACAAAGATGATCATGCATGTATATGTTATAATTAAATTTAACTCTTTAATTATAACCTTAAAAAAAATTAATTATAATTTGTGTGAGCACCATTTTTAGCCACACTTTAGGCCGGCCAGCAGCTACTAGGTATCTAGATGAGTGATCAAAGGTGACCCCATGAATGTCCACAAGCATGCAAATGTATATGGAGGGTCTAGTTGAAATGTTTCTTTCAACACTCATCTTTATATATATGTTCTCTACTGAATCACTGAATTTATTCAATTTCTTTTGTTCTTTTGCACTACAATTCAATCAAACCAAACAATCTACCCAACCTCATCTTCTTACTTTATCTAATTATATAAATGGAAGAAAGAGGTGTCACACAATTTCTACATTTATAATTAATTATTTGAAAGATCAGAAGAGTTTCTTGCTTCATGGTGCTTCTTACTTTATATAAATATACATATACTACTATCACACTTTTTAATTTTATTGAAGTAAAAAAAAAAAAAAAAACACAAAAGTTGCAATCCAATCCAACGGCTTAAAGCAAATAAGATCGAGGTTAAACTCTTATAAAAAAAATATACAATGTTAAAGAACTTTATGCCAGACTTTCTTTCAAGTAAGAGTCAAACTTTGTTGGCGTTCTCGTTTTTTTCTAGGTTAATTATTATGCCACTTTAGTGGGAGTAAAAACATATTAATCAGTAATAATCATTACATAACCTATAAAACTATTTAATTTCCTTTAAAAAAAAAAAAGCCAACAAAATATTAATCAGTAGAAAAAAAAATTATGAATATATACAAATAGAGAGATCTAGTTCCTATCTAGACAGATGAAACTAAGAGCTTGTAACTTTAACCAAAACATGAGTTGCATAATTTGCTGATCTTGAAATGTGAAACATACTTTAAAAAAAAAAAAAAACATATAAAACTATTTATATTATTATTTCTATTTCATTTTCTTTCAATTCTAAAACATACTCCATATAGTAATGTATAGTATTGAGATAAGTATCCAAGACTAATAAAATAGGGACGTAGAAGAATATATACTTGAATTGAAGTTTGGAGTCTATTAAACCACAATTAATTATATTGTTGCTAATTTGTGTTAATCGGTTGGGATTTGAAGTTCCAATAAGAAGATTGGAATGCCATGTAAGAAAAGGGAAGATGGGACCCTTGAAAGTAAACAAGGATAAGTAGTACACGTCAGCTGTACAAATGTGAATGGACGTACATGCGACCATATTAGGGATTCTCACTTCTCATTACATGGTTATTAACTTCAAAAGTATTCAACTTAGTTTCATTGCATATCCATCAATATATAACTAAATCATCATTCTAAAGAGATCCAAGAGTAATATTGTTCAATCGTGTCTAAAGATATCTGAAATAGAATAAAAAATTTCTTTACGTGAGTAAAAAGATAATATAAAAAGAGAGAAAAACAAGATGCAAAGTGTATAGATAGTTAGATACTCTACACTATCCAAAAAATTATGAGAAAAATGCATACGTCTACTAAGGCATAGGAAAATGATAGATAGTTATCTACATTTTCTTAATTAATCTGTTTAATTTTTATTTTTTTTATTCTTTGTTTTGTTAATGATGTGAAAAGAGAGCTAAAGAATAATATCGAAGATGTTCTAATAAGCCTGATGTACTTTTAGCCAATGTTGACTTGTATGTGTCTGCGTGCCACTAGCATACTGACGCCTATCTTTGTCACCATAAGATTAAATGTATGTTTTTTTTACTATTGTACCGATATTTATGTTCTATATATGAGATAGTTGGACTTTAATAGGGCACATTAAATTGTTAAGTATAAAGTGTTTAGAGATAGATTTGGTTGATATATATAATATACAAATGGAATGACAAGTATGAAGGGGATGGATAACTAAATCCCACACGTAATGGTTAACACACCAACACAAAACTAACATTAATCTTATCATATATGCATGGGCTTGTGCATTATCATCCATTGCCATTTGCCAGTGGCTCTAGGATTTGGTGGGCCCCTGCGCTATAGAGAAATGTGTGGGTCAGATTAAAAGTCTGGACATTATATTCTTGGAGATGGATCTCTCATAAAACGTGGGCCTATGTTTGGCCCCTTTTGATTTTATCAGGGGATGTTGGATATGCTTAATTTAAGGACTCTTCCCTTGTCTCAAGGGCCACCATTTTAAGGCACTTTTTGCTTTATTAGGAAATACCAATTATGTAAACACTCAACATTTGTTTCCAAAAAGATGAATCTCTAACTTTAATGTCCTCACGCTTTGACTCGACAGAGCATTTGTAAGGATGTAAATCATGGTAATTCAGTTGAACACAGAGGCTAGATCTTTATTTACTGTGCACAAGGAGTCCCTTCACTTTGAGAGGTTGCTCCCATACTGTCACTGGTGAGATTCGATCCCGAGTCATTGTTCCCAAACATTACCACTGTAACCAACTGAACTGTCCATGCGAGCAACACTCAACCTTCCCTATGGGGGCGATGTTAGTTTTTGGTTCCGTCGATGTGAAAGTGGTGAAATTAGAGCAGTTGGATCGCTTCAAGTACATTATTAATATCATAGCACTACGCTTTTAATTGAAAATTTTAGGACTTGAGCGATGAATTGCTGCAACCATTCTCTTAAGAACAACCTCAATAGAAGTTTTTGGTAAGGTTTTTTTGGTTATTATGAAAGAAAGAGAAAGTGAAGTGGCATAGAAGAGAGATAATTAGGGTTCTTTTGCCAAAACCCTAATATTTATAGAAAGAAAAAAAAAAACGTGTGATTTGTGTATACACACAAGGCCTAACGAGTAACGAGTGCATAATCTTTACATGCCAGTTAGACGATTAGAGTAATTACTAATAAGTGATCATTTCAATTATTATATTATTATATTTTAATTTCTACTTTCTTTTAATTTATACTAAGACTCACAACAAACTCTCCATAAACCAATCTGTTGGAATTGCTCTACAAATGTTATCATGCCACATATTGCTATTAATCAATTTAGAAAAAGTCTCATTTAAATTAACTAATAGCAAACTAACTTTTAACACACTACACATTATTAATAATTAATATGCGGTAGACTAATTAGGTATTTTGTAGTGTTTGAGGCTAAAGAACCTTTTTTTTTTTTTTTTTTTTTTTGAAATAGAGGCTAAAGAACCTAAGACATCACATATGATTTTGTCCAAACATAGGATGACTCACCGTACATATCCTACTCCAAAAGATAGCATTATAATAAGATAATAAAGGGTCGGCAAATAAATTTTGTGTTTTATCTTAAATTAGTTTTTTTTTTTTTCTGAAACTATCTTAAATTATATAATTACTTAATTTGATTAATCGACAGGCTTTGTTGATCATTATTACACGTATGGTAGCACTTACATGATGACTTTTCTATAAAGCATCAAAATTGCGAAACTAATTATAACATGTTTTCAACAAAAGGAAAAACAAATGATGTTCCAAGGTAATAAGAAACTTTAGTATGTTTTGTTTATATGTATATATATATATAATTTTATATCACTTTCTATTTGTTTAATTAAATTAAATCCAATGTTTTCAAATTGATGTTTAACAAATTTGTAGGACCACATTAATTATTTAATTTCAATCAACCCTATCCTGATTTGATGTTGCTAAGAACGTCATATATAGTATTTTTTTTTTTTGGGAACATTTTCTATTTGTTTAAATTAAATCCAGTGTTTTTTTAATTATCATTTTGGAGAAAATATTCTTTTCCAAAACACCCCCTATACTATTTTATTCAAATTAATTAAAAATTAATTACCTTTAAGAAATGCCCACAAATTCATCAAACACCTCTATGCAAATTAACAATTAATATTAAGTAGTACACATAATTAATACAAATTAATGCAATTCGTTAAACATTAAATAGCAAATAAGTCCAATATATTTATCTTGGACTGAAAATTAAGTTGTGCCTACTTCAATTTGAAGTTAATTAAAGCACGTACTTCCTTTATTTTGCAGCCATTAGTTAGGATTTTGGGTAGGTCACAAGTCCCAATCATTATACCAACACAAAATATGAATTGAAATGAATATAATGAAGCTGTACAGTGAATATATATACAAAAGAAGATGTTATCCACATTTTGGGAGAGAAGAAGGGCCAGCAATTTGCACTTTTCAGTACTGGGACATAGCCTAACGTACAAATTCCCCAAAAAAAAAAAAAAAAAAAAGACAATGGGTGTTTGGTAAATAGTTGTTAGCTAATTGGGTTAGTGAGTTTGACTAGTTGATAGCAATAACTGATTGTAGAAAAGTCTTTGATAAATTAGTTGTCAACTAATAACTGATTACATGTAAAATTATTTTTTTAAATATTTATCAAAAAACTGTTTTTTGAATTTTCACATTTTGGAGCAATAAGTTGTTACAAAAAATTAATTTTTTTGAATACTACTGACTCTATTATCAAACATGGTCAAAATAAAGATATATGTTTAGCTAATAACTTATGTTGGTGAGTAGGATAGTTTATCTTGGTTGGGATAGGAATGTTAACGTGGAAGTTGTATCCACATTGCATGCATATATAAACAGCTGATATATAGTTGCGTCGACAGTGCTACTCATAATTATACAACCAGTGGATCTTATCGTCGTCCTACTCATCCTATACGATAAGTGCCTAAATTTCTTGCTAAATTATTATTCTATAATAAATGTTTTAAGAACACACGTTTCGGTATAAAAGATAGGGTAGTAATAATATATATATTTCAATGTAACATAATTAACAACCATTCACACTCTTGTATACAATCACGACACGCCTCTAATGCAATGTTTATGTATAGAATAATTTCACTTTTGGTACGCTGACTATTATATATAAATCACATTCAAATACTAAAATTTTATAATTAGGTGTATGACTATGTAATTTATATAACATTTGATCCTGCTGTCTAATTTTAGAGCCAACTATTGCCAGAAGTATGTGGTCCTTCCAGAATAAGTAAATGCATGCAGTGCTCCTTCCAGAAGAAGCACTTCCATCCGTAATTGGCCGAAAAATTAGACGACAAAACCAAATGTGATACAAATTATATAGTCATGCACTTAATTAGAAAGTTTTAATAGTCAATGACCAAATGTGATTCATATATAATAGTCAAGGGACCAAAAGTGAAATTTTCTCTTTATGTATATTATGCTTATGAACATATAAAAAGAATCTTATGAACATACTACAAAAAGGGAATAAAAATAAAAATAAATATTATGAACATAATATATGATGAATGTTATTATACATGATACGCCTATAGTGTAATATTTATATAGATTAACCTTCGGTTTTATGAACATATAAAAGTAAAATTATGAATTTACTACTGACTGAATAGAAATAGATATGATGTACATGCAATTTAATATTTATGTATATTAAGGATTAAGTTTATAAAAATAAAAATATAGAACAAAACAAAATACAATACAAATCTTATTAAGCGTGATGTAGTTTATGTTGTTAACGATTTAATATAAAAACAACTATATATTAAACTAAAATCTACCATGCAAGATGAAGCACCATAGTCCACGATATATTTTGCGTCGGATATAATTTGAATACCTTTTGGGCCCAGAAGGGAAAGCACGAATAAATCCAATTCAGCAGTTGCAAGTTAGTGACAAGTTTGTCGTAGCTGACGATAGGGTGGGGACGACGTGGGGTTTTCGCATTAACATTTTCGGCCTTTCGCATGTTAATTGCTATATCTTTTTTTTTTTTTTCTCCCAAAAAGTTGAATCTCTCATCTCTCGCCTGAGCATTTAGATGATATAAATTACGGTGACCCAATAACTCAACAGACAGAATCAAATGTCGGTGCACACAAGAGATCTGCTCATTTTAGACATAATACTGCAAGCTAAAATTCGAACCTTGTCTCTTCTCCCAAATACTGCTATATCCCATTTTTATCACCACACAATGTCTCCATGGATCCCTGTGGCGGCTGTGGATAATATAACGTCGGACTCATTCTTACGTACTCGTCAAATAAAGGTTGCTTTTATCCAAATCATCCATTTGTGGATCAACATTCCAGCTTGAAAATACCCAGCTTTTTCTCAAAATATGGATAAGATCATAAGAATTTGCTATCCACAATATATTCAAAGCTACACTGCAACAATAAGCAAATTAAAATCCCATCATAATATCATATTCATATATGCCTTTCACATTTATCATATCATTCAAGACGAGAAGCAAAGTGACCCCAAGTGTGAACGTTGAACGCTTGTTATCAAGGCATGCACAAAAGCAAGCTAGTTAAATGGTTACCAATATATCTCGATAAGAAAACCAAGCTAGTTAAATTGTGTTAACATATAGGCTATTTAGGTATATCTTGCGATTTACATTATCTACCAAAATTCTATGACAGTAGCAGGTGAGAGCCCTCAAGATTGGAATGCAATCCTTTTAAGAAAACTGATCAATCTAAGCAAGTGCAATCAGTAATGACAGGCGATCCAATATGTTCCATAATCGCCTCAGAGTTCATGCAATCAGAACACTGTTATATGATGAAAAGAGCTTTCTACCAAGTGGAAAGGATTTGGATCCACATACAGGATTCTTTATTTAAAAAAAAAAAAAAAAAAAAAAAAAAACAAATTGACTATAATTAAAATAAAATAATCTCAATAAATAAGAGACGCCTTACTTTTTGATGGTCTTGGGCCACTCCATGATGCAAATACTATCTCCTTCACTGCCATGAATCCCATGATCATAGTCACTCCCGGCTTTAGGAAGGATATTAATGGATAGATTCAGAGCAAAGATACAGGAAATATATCCACTTGAATCTTTCCTGTAATTTCTATTTTTAGCATGATATAAAATATCCTGACGCGGGGAAATGATGGAGGAAAAACAAATACCTTCACAAAGTAAGGAACAAAAGAAATTTACTAGGTTTTTTTTCTTGGCCTAATTATGATGAACAATAATCCTAGAGATTACTGCAAGGAATAAGGACCAACTTAAAGCATTTTTTGTATTTTAATAACTACGGGTGTTCAAGTGTTGACAACTACAGCATAAGAATAGAGTTTGATGCTTTTGAATCCAAGTTTTGGGAAACACACACTTGGATCAAAGGCATACCACAAGCATATATAAGATAGAAATCATAAAAGTGAAAACATTTAAGGAGGAAAAAAACAAAAATTGCTCGAGGTTCATGGAACCTTTTTTTGGTTTTGCACAAGCTGACCTGCTTCATGATAATATAGAATGTCTTTTTTCAAGTTGATTGAATATTGTGTTAACCTATGAAATCACCTATTCACCTTGACATAAAATACATGTATTATGTGAATCGGATCCAATGATCAAAGCTCCCTGCAGGCCTGCACAATGGAATATTAATTTATCATTAAATCACAGGTAACCCAAAAAAGTACTAGGGGAGTAGGGGCAGAAAACAAAAGAGAATATCAGAAGCAATAGTAGTACAGTCTCCCTACTCGTCGGGAGGAGGCAAGGCTGCAAATAAAGGAAACAAGCAAAATGGTTTGAAAGACTAGATTCTTATACGTAAGGTTGGCAACTACATATTATCCGACTTTTGAGATGATAAAATCTTTTCTATAGTACTTCAAAGGCCCAAATGAAGTATGCATAGGAAGTTGGTGTTGCATTGCAACGAAAGGTGACTAAATTGTGAGGCAGCAAAAATAAGCAGGATACATCTTTACTTGAACACTTGAATCTGCCTTGCTCATGCAGAAACTATGGTCCATCATAGAACACACAGGAAAAAAAAGAAAAAAAAAAAAAAAGAGCTAATACAAGAAGGTAGAGAATGCATCCACACAAGAAATAATGAGAAAAGTGTAATGGTAGAAGAAAAAGAAAAGTATCAGGCATCAGAGAGAAGCTGAAAGACATGCATGGTGATCTCCCAAATAGTCAGAATAACAAATTTATAAAAATTAGTATGTTCCGTGAGCTGAAAATATGAGCTAGTCCTTATGCCACATCAGATGCTGCCATCATGGACACACAAAAAAAAATGAAGAAAAAATTAACGGGGATGAAAAAGAAACAAAAGGAGATCCACTCTTTTCTATTTCTTTCTCCTCCTTTCTCCTAGGATATTAAGTTGTCCTTTTCAACTGAAAGAAAGTTAAGCAAGAAAGAGTTAACAAATATTCCACTTTTTTTGGAAGTTATAAACAATACAATTACATAGACTGGGATATATGATGACGTCCTCAATTGCAACCAGCAAATAGAAAATGAAATTTACAAAAACAATACCTCAGCAAGCTTAAACTAAAGGTATAAAGAAACAAGAGATCTATGCACAACAAATTCAGTCCCAAACAGAAGAAAAGGCTAGTAAATACTACACCGGTAAAGCATCAAGTGGACATATGCTTGTTCAATTTTCTGAATTGAATCAGAACAATTAACTGGTTTACATTCATTTGTATATATCTTGAACTTCATCATCTTCAAAACTATACTGAGCATTTGATAGACTTCAAAAATGTGCAAAGAACTGAGTTATAAAACACCCATTGTGCGCTTCCTTGTTCAGTATAAAAGGTAGTTCCACTGTAAACAGCTACTCAACCATGTTGATCCTTGTTTCCCAGAACAGCCCCAAAACGACGTCGATTTGGGGCTGTATATATATATAATTTTTTTTTCCCAGGGCGTATCTCTTGGCAGTCCTGGGCAGTGGCTCCTCTGCGGACTGTGCAAGACGCTGAGACCTGTTTTCACTCATCTAGTCATCTTCATTCTTCTACTTTAGTTCATGATTCCTCCTGAGCTCCTTTGCGACTACGCACTGCTGCAGCCATGCCCCACAGCTCATCTTCTCTGCTCATCCCAAATTCTCAGAGACTTAGACATCTCAGATTCTCAAGGTCCACCGTCCGACCGTCGTCCAGTCATCCGGCAAGTCGGCAACAACTTGCAAATGCTCAGGTTCGAACCAATTTTCAACCTTATTCTCTTAATTAATTAACCCTAATTCCATAAATTATAAATCCCTAATTCCCTAAATCTTCAATCTTCAACATTTTTTTTATGTATTCTATTCTATGTATATTTATTGTTCATATATGTGAATATATGATGTATATTTCCCCAATTTTTATCAATTTTTGTATAATCTTTATATATTTACCACTGTTGTAAAAATCAGCCTAGGCGCTAGGCACCCCTAGGCTGTTCCGCTTTCACTACTAGGCGCCCAAAAATCGGCCGGCCGCCTAGGCACCCGGCTAGGCGGCGAAATCGGTCAAAATCGGCCAACTCGGCCGTGTCAGTCGATTTCGTCCGATTTTGACCGATGTCGTCTAGTCCAGCCGTCCGTAGACTAGTTTGATACTTTGAATCTTTGGATGATTGAAGTATTTGAGTATTTCATATTTGAGTATTTTTATTTTTTAATATTGTTTTGATGTTATGACTTATGAATTATCATTATTTCATCTATTTGGATGTGTTATTTGATTGAATGTTGAAAACAGCCTCATTAAAATTGTCAAACTGCAAGTCTGCCACTATATTTTTGGCGCCCGCCTAGGCGCTAGCTGCCCGGGCACCCGACTAGCGCCTAGCGCCTACTGCAACCATGATATTTACTATATATTCTCAAATTTGGTCCCTGTACGTTGTACTGCTGTTAATATACTGCATATGGTACTCCCTATTAGAATACTAATCAAATTAAATACTCCATATATTTAATGTTGATTTCACTATTCCAATAGCCTATACTCCAGTATTCTAGTAGCCGAAATTGCCTAATGTTGATTTAATGTCTAAATTGCCTAATTTACAGATTGTTGTTTCTCTATTTGTTCGTGAGCATGTTTTACTCTTTTAAAGCCCATTTTCTGGTTTCTTTCAATAGCTTTTGATGATTATGGTTTTGTGATCGTGTGATTGAATGTATTGTGTGAACAAAGAAACTAGAAAGAAAAAACAAAATGTTATGTATAATATTTACTGCATCAAATGAAAACCTTTCTTATGGACATTTTTGAATCATTTGAACTTCACCCCCACTCAGCTATTTTTCTGGATCTGCCCCTGAAGAAGAGTGTAAAGCTCAGAGAATGAATGATCAAAGTTCATGGGAGTAATATTGAGTACATAGAGCAATATATACTACTAAGAATACACAATTGTAGGAAACTATTCTACAGAGAATGAAGGACAACCATAAATACAAAATTCAAAATAGAGAGAGTGTAGGAACGCATGCAGTAGACTTATTGTTATGATTAGCAGCCTTGACCTCCACTAAGAATAGATAAATAAGAGTATAAGACTAGCAAAGCACTAAAAGTGTTCTACAAAACTGGTGACAATCTGAACCTCTAAGAGGATCTCTATTTATAAAAACATAGTTTTATGGGCGTATAATAGTTGAACTCTAATCTGATTCACATTCAGAGTCCATGCATAACTTGAAGTATAAGTTAGATAAGAAAAGACACTAAGACTTTATGGCTCAGAATAGGCATTTGGTCATGCTCAATTTGGGTATTAAACAAAGGGGAAGCTTTGCAAAGTATTGGCTGGATTAGTTTCTTCACCCTTCTCTTTCCTTTGTCATATAAAATCACTTATATGTATTTAATTATTTATTTACTTTCACATTTAATCACACAAGTTTAAAGTACCCTCTATAAGCCCTAGTTAACAAATTTGATTATAGAGATAAACCTCCTTTATCAAGCCACTCTGCAGATGTCTATTATTCTGCTTATGGAAAAAATTACTCCATAATTATTAGCTGTAAAAGCTGAGCCACGTCCAACGCAGATAAGCTGCAACATATCATCAATAAATATATGTATTCTGAAAAAGCCCATTAGCCAAATCACACCTCCACTAGTTGCTCATGATGTATTTGTGTTGAAGTGACTGTTATTAACCTGAAACTTGACTGCACTTCATTTCCATATTAATACACTTAATTACTATTATTTTTTTGGTACCATAAACTGCCAGTAACCGATAGTTGGACTCAAATTGGGAAAGCTCTCCTAATGCTTATTGCAACATTTACAAAACTCAATCCAAAATCTTACTTAAATGAACATACATCTCCTTCCATGAGTTCCATCCACTCAAATCATAGGTAGTTGGTCTAACCAAAAAGACATTACTCAGTTTATGTAAAGGCATTTCTCACTGAATCGATGATGAAGTACAGTACTCATTCTTGTTCTATGACTATGAATTAAACTCATCTCCAACTTATCACACAATCACATTGCTTAAAACTTAATGCCACAAAAATACAGCCAAAAAGAAAAAGGAAACAAAATCAAGAAGAACGCGAGAATGCAATATCTCTCCAATGTAAGCCAGTAAGGGCGTATGGATTGAATTAGTTATTAACACAATCTATTGAACTGAATCAAAGCTCAAATTGCAGAAAGAAGAAACTAAGTAGCATCAGAAGATAGCTACAAGAATGTATCTACAGAATTGAGGGATAATCAATCACAGGTTTTTTAGGTGGGTGCACCGTACCTTAGAGATGGCCGGGAATGTTGCGTTCTCGCCTGAGACAGCTGTTGGGACGGTGGCTGAACTATACTCACGGGGCCCGTTTGGTTGAGGATGGCCCAAAGTACGAAGAAAATTGGCAAATTATGCTCTGCATATGGTGCATACGGATGCAAAAACGACGTCGTTTTGTTAAAAACGCACGTCTCCTCTTAAAAAAAGAATTATGTTCGATTTCCAACAACAATATATGAACTAAAATTCCAGAATCGATGAACTATAAAATCTATGAACAAAATTCCAGAATCTAATCTATTGATTAAAAATTTCAGAATGAATGAACTAAAATTCCAGAATCTATGAACTAAAATTTCAGAATTGATGAACTATAATTCCAGAATCAATGAACTAAAATTCCATAATCTATTAACTAAAATTCTGGAATGAATGAACAACATAATGTTGTTGCTGGGAATCGAACCTGATTTTTTTTTTAAGGGAAGACGCGGATTTTTAATAAAACGACATCGTTTTTGCATCCGTATGCACCATGCATGGTGCATACAGATGCACAGCATAACTACTCAAGAAAATTGGGACGTTTGGTTAAACAATAGTTATACCATGGACCAATGTTCATATTGTATTGTGAATTTTATTCTAAAAATTATATATTTGCAGCTTTTGCAAACAAATTGAAAGCACATAACTTGATAATTACAAATACATAAATTATTAATTGCATGTGTACATAATGTGTACGCACTTAACATATTGTAATTACCTTTTAATTTACAGGTTACATGTAATAACGGGTCAAATAAAACCAATTGCACTTTTTTCTAAGTTCAACTGTTTAAGTGTCTAATTGAAATTTTTTTAATTCAATGACGTAATTACACTTTCATGAATATTTCAATGACATATTTGACCCTTATCCTAAAAATAAAATTATTATTATTGTATCGTATATAACAGTTACAACAATCAATTCCTCGCTTTATTGTAGTAATCATGACCTGAGGTCAAGTAATCAATTATCTGTGCTAATTCAGGTGCTCTGTTACGTGTGTTTGAATTTGCATTTATGTTGTTTGATATTCATTGTTATGGAAACGTTTGATATTCATTGTAAATATCGTAGGTTGAATGGAAAAGGAAAATATATTAATAGTTAGAAATATATTAAGAATATACAATATATGGTAAATTTTGTAGGTTCAATTCATCATATTATCTTATCTTCTTGTATTCTCTTCTCTTCTCTCAACTATAATAAAACCAATTGGTTTTGTAAAAAAAATCTCGCCCAAACAAGAACGACACTGTTTGGACAAAAATGATAGTGAATGTTTCTGTTACATTGCATATGGTACCGAAAAGGAACAATAAATGGTTTGGGCCGTATTTTATCGTGCATAACCGTCTTTTGCTTTGATTTTTTAATTACCGAATTTTAATTATAAGATTTTTGGAATTATCAATTGCAACCTTTCGAATGGTCATTTATGAATATCGTTTGAATACGAGATAAAGAAATTATTGTCGTTCATTTGAGATTCCCCAACCCTAGAATGAACAATCATCGCGTCAATTAAGTATATAAACATATAGAAAGAAAACGAAATTACATCCAACGAAAATACTACACATTACAACATTTTTAACACCACAGCTCAAAGTATCATATCAGGGCTCCCCTGTTCATCACGGCCAACCAACTTTCACCTATGAGAACTTTAAGCGCCATCAAACTCAGGTTTGTTCGCACCTATAAAGTGCCATACAGAAAGGGAAGCTAGAGTATCAAATGCAAAGAATGTATTTTTCATGACAATGAGATTCTGTAAAAAAAAAAAAAAAAAAAAAAAAAAAAAAAAGAGGAGACTAAGTGATGCATATATTTAAATTAGAAAAACACGTAATAATATTTTCACTCAATATAATATTTATGACCTTTAATATATGTCAATCTCTATCTCTATCTATATTAAAGCAAAATAAATAATGGTGAAAAGTTCTCGCCCACAAGCAACGGCATCGTTTAGAGGTTATTCGAAAATGTAATACTTTTTAATTAAAAAACGAGCGGCCTCATCAGTTCCTAACATCAAATTTATATAAATCTTTTTTTTAGACCCTAGTAGTCTTTTTTAATTCTAATCCAATGATATTAGAGAATGTATTAAACCATCTATATACTAATCGATTTCTCATACGCAATATAGAGCAGCCCACTAGCCGAATTTTTATTTTCTAGGTAATTATTGCTACCGTAAATTTGAAACCCTTCGTTAGTTAACGAAAGGTCATCAATCATAACTAAAATCCTATATATACATCACAAACCTACTGAACATCACAAACCAATTATGTCATACTTCATAGTCTTCAGTTTCCCAACCGCAATCTCTATAAAACAAACCAATTCTGCTAATATTGAAAAATGTTCATTATTGCAAGCGAGATTTCTCCCATGAATACAAGACATGCTCTATGGGTCTGTGTCCTTAGAGCATACCAAATACTTGGAAGAAAAGATTCATCGCAAATCAAATCCAAGGAGATCGTATTTCACGACGATGAGGTAAGATTTATGAATAAATAAATATTTCAATACTATTTTATCATTATTTACTATTGATTTCTAATACATAGTACTGATTACTGGACTTTGGCCTCTATCTATATTACTTATTTCTAAGTCTAAAATGGATAGCAACATTGTAATGTTACTAGTAATTCACCCGCGCGATGCACGGGAAAAAATTATGTTATTATAAATATAAATAAAATATAAAAAAACTAAAATATTTTAAATTGTTTAACATAATAATATTTTTGACCTTCCATTGGTCAAGTATTTATTATTTTTATAGAATACAAAATTACAATTAAAATTAAAATTAAAATTTTGTATGGTTAATATAATCTCTAGTTATGTGCATATTCAAATAAACTTATAGAGAGAATTTACATAATTACATTGATTTATTCTTAATTGTATTTCATCTATATTATAATTTTCACAATACGAATAATAACTAAGATAATTACATTTGGAAAGCAAATTTCAAATTTTGTATGAGTAAATTTAAACTCTAATTGAACACATTTTTTTATATGATTATATAATATATAGCTATTTTATTTTTCAAAAGTACATTTTTTATATGATTATATAATATATAGTTATTTTATTTTTCAAATGTTGTACTTTTTTTTTATTTATTTATAATAAAGGATGTTGTGACATTAATTGTAATATTGATTACTTCCCAAACCATATAGCTTTATTATAATTAAGATAAGATTTATAGGGGCTTACGGCTTACCTCATAAATTATGGAGAAATCATCTCTTATACTTATTGCTCATAATATTTGTTTATTCATAAAGCTGACATTCTCGTCATGAAATACGATCTCTTTAGATCTGATTTGCGATGAATATTTTCTTTCAGGTATTTGGTATGCTCTAAGGATACAAACCCTCAGAGCATGTCTTGTATTCATAGGAAAAATATGGCTTGCAAGAATGAACATTTTTTAATATTAGCAGAATTGGTTTGTTTTATAGAGATTGCGGTTGAGAAATCGAAAACTATGAAGTATGGTAGAATTGGTTTGTGATTTTCAGTAGGTTTGTGATGTATATATATGACTTTAGTTCTGATTGATGGCCTTTCATTAACTAACGAAGGGTTTCAAATTTACTGTAGCAATAATTACATAGAAAATAAGAATCCGGTTAGTGGGCTCTATATTGCGTATGGGAAATGGATTAGTATATAGATGGTTTAATACATTATCTAATATCATTGGATTAGAATTAAAAAAGACTACTAGAGTCTAAAAAAAACAGATTTATATAAATTTAATGTTGGGAACTGATGAGGCCGCTCGTTGTTTAACAAAAAAGTATTAAATTTTCGGATAACCTCTAAACGACGTCGTTGCTTGTGCTCCTTTCAAAAGAAACAAATGCAAGTATGCAGTGCTTCTTCTAAAAGTGCTCATTCCAGAAGAAGCAAATGTAGTGCTCATTTCGGAATTCAGCTATAGTTGGCTAAGAAAATTGGACGGTAGGACCAAAAGTGATACAACTTACATAGTCATGCACATAATTTGAAAATTTAATTTAATAGTAAAGGACAAAATGTGATTCATGTATAATAGTCGTGGACTCATATCCCAAACGACGCCGTACTAATCCTAAAAGAAGCGCCCAACCGGTGTCGTTTTACACCAAGATTGAAGGTAATTACAGTTCAGGGGAAGAACCGAAGAACTGGAGGAGAAATGGAGATGGAGGGCTGACTGGCGATTCAGTGTACAGAGACTAAAGAAGAATGAGTAGAGAAGATACTCCAAAGCTCTACATGGACAAACCTAAGAAGGGTAACAACTCTCGCAGCATATTAATTTTCTATTTTTGTTTTCCAAATATTGTTAGCCGCAATGACGATTGATCTGTTATTACTACTCTGTATTTTACAGCGCTGCTGAAACAGCAGGCATCCTCGTCGTCTTCGATGGCGCCGTTGACGTCAACGGGGTGTAGGCCTCCACCGCCGACCTACCGGCCACCAAAGGAATCCTTCGCTCGGCGGTACAAGTTCCTCTGGCCGATGCTCTTGACAGTCAATTTCTCCATGGGAGGTTCGTCGTCCTCTACCTAATTTTCTATCATTTACTAGTATATGATGATACTATGTGACGCGTATGAATGTGTTCATGTGATATTAGCAGATTCATAGTAAATTTAGATGTGCTTTGCTTGTAACACGATTTTTGTCCCGATATTATTACTGAAATTTGAGTTGGATGGAATCAGTTTTGATTTGAATGTAATGATCTATTTTCCAGGCTACTAAAGGTTAGGGATTTGTGTCAATGTTTGAAGTTGAATTCACATGTTGTAAAGAGGTCTAAGGCTTGCATGCTATGTGGTTTGCTGCTCATAATGAATTGCATATAATTTAGGACATTGTTCACTTCGGGCTCCTAATAGTTACCGTGCCTCATTGCCTCGTGTTCAGTACTTTAATTACCTTGCCCGCCTTCCTCTGCCGCCAACAACAACAACAAAAAGAGAGGAATAAAAATACCGAAAAGAGCTCATGCTTGTTGACTTACTTTCCCTTCTTGACAAAAATTCAATGGTCATCTGCTAACTTTGTGTAGTGATGATGAAATTGAGTCTTCGGTGAAAAAGAAATGCATGTGACTTTTCAGAAATGCTGAAAACATTTGGTGGAGAAAAATTCTTTACCTGATCTTTCTCTTGTTATGTAAGGGTTGCAAGAGAGGTATGGATCAGGCATATGAATTTCATTCCCCATAAAGAGCTAAATTTGACTATGGATGTAAAGCCTTCCTGGCACCATCAACTGTGCTTAGCTAGAACTTTTTTGTTTCTTATTAAAATATCTTTGTTTAGAAAACATTAGAATACTAGTAACTCACTAACTTTAAATCCAATATGGTAATTATAGATGGATTTCTCTTGTTCACTCTAGAAATTGCTCATACTGTATTCTAAAAGTAACGACCCATTGGCTTCCCTGATTCTGGTGTTGTACCACAAGAGTGAGAGCTTGTAAGGACTACACTATTCCGTTGTTCCCATTCTCAACCTAGGCCCTGTTTGGTAAAATAGTTAGCTTATAGGCCAGTTTTGGCTTATTTGACCACTATTAGCTGTTTGACTTAGTTAAAAAATCAATATAAGTGTTTGGTTAATTAGCTTTTTGTTACTCCAAAATGCTAAAATTCAAAAGGCTGCTCAAAGAAACTTTTACAATTAGCTTTTTGAGAAAAAAAATTATACCAAACAGCTATCAGTTAACAGCTAATTTACCAAACACCTTCGTATAATCAGCTAATGCTATCAACTAGTTATATCCTCTAATTAACCCAATCAGCTAACAGCCATTTACCAAACGGGGCAGAGTATGCTTTTAAAATTACTTACACTTTTATTAACCTATTGTTCTTCCAATCTTCCCCAACAAGCCTCCGCCCTTCTAGACTGGCAATATAAGATGACTGCAAGCAAATGAAAAGAAGGCATACCACTTGGGAAAATCAGCCTGTAGTTTTCTTCTTGTTCTTCATTTGGTGGTAAATCCACAAGGTTCATTACAAAATGTATTGATGAAATTTTGAAGGAAGTTATTTTGGCATCTATACAATCTTTGAAAAATCTCTTTATTACATGGATTATGGATATCCTTTGATTGCTATGTCTATCATGAAGTTGTTTGTGACAAGTGCTAAATCTACTTGACAACAAATTTACAAATTATAATTGTATGCTTCATGTTTTATTATTAATGTTTTTCTTTAATATTTACAAATATTATAAATTTTGGCTCATTTGTTTTTAATATTTGAAAATATATAATATATGCTGCACAGGTGAATTACTAGTTTCTTCTTAAAGCTGTAATTAAATAAAATACTTGAAACTCCACTGTGGGGTAAAGCTGTAAATACTGTAAAAGAAAACAAGGCATGTTGGCTCAATTGAGTAAAAGAAAACAAATCTAATGCTCTTTCTGGTGGTTTTCTTCTTGTCAAATGCAGACTTCTGAACTTGCTTATTTGTGCAACCAATATTTTGGGGAAGAGTAATTTTTGGGAAAAGATGTGCATGATTCTTGAATTAATAGCAGAAACGATAAATGACTGTTGGCTCAATTGAGTAAGGCAAGGCCTCTTAATCTTTAGGTTAAGGGTTCAATCTCCTCCCATCGGACATCTTGAAATAAAAGTAATTTCAGTAACATAACAGAAGCTGCTTTCTTTTTAAACAGTAATCTTTTGACTAATGTGTAGTAAATTATTCTCTTGAACTACTATTTCTTTTGTCTAGGACTCGCTTGTCTTCTTACTAACTCTAGATTGTTGAGTCTTCTAATTTGATATGATCAATTGCGTGTTCACAAACTTGGTCAAACTGAATATCAGTTATGTAACGTTTGACTTGTAATGCCAATCATAAACCCTTTTACATATGTGACCGTTAGTCCGTTACATGTACTACTGGTGTTGGTATCTGCTTTATGGCTGCTTGATTTTGTGTGTAGCTTACATCTTGTTGATGCCAAAAAAGGAAGACGAAGTCACAGAGAAAGTAGAATCATTACAGGTTCCTAGCGAGTCTCCAGCTGCTGAAAATAAGTAGTTCTGTTAGTGCAGCCTGTGGTAGAATGGATATGGGAGACTGGAAATTGTGAGCTATTCAGAATTTCAGATTGCAACGTTTATTGGAGAAGAGAAAGTTGAAGGCAAGAGATCCTGAAAGAGAAAAGATGCATTGATGAGGATATGGCCATTCTCAAACAGTTTATTCCATCCAATTTCTAGAGTGTTGAATAGTAAGAACCATACAGGGAGTATTACTTACACTTGGATTGAAATTAATTAAATTTTATTTTAGTTCAAAATCTACAGGGTTGAATATCATTTTCTTGTTCTACATCAATCTTTTTTGGACAATTTTGCCATCCATATCTGGGCAAGAAGACAACATATTTACAAAATTTTCAGGAAGTTTTAATACATTAGGTATCTTCCTAAGCCCCTAGAGTCCCTACCCAATATTCATAAATTGTAAGTCACCTCGTTAGTCTTTAAGTTCTTAGTTCTTACCAATCTATACACTCTACGTATAAGGAGTCTTTATTTTTGTTGATCAGTCAAGGTCTTCCAATGATTTTAAGGTGATTGGTCGGACCAATTGAGGTAGTCTTTATTTTTGTTGATCAGTCAAGGTCTTCCAATGATTTTAAGGTGATTGGTCGGACCAATTGAGGTAGTCCTACAGACCATGAAGTTGACTAGATTTCATATTGCTATTATAATTGAACAATGGAATAACAAAGATTTTAGGGAAAATGGCAACTTTTTACCTTGAATTATTCATGCATTTATATTAACCTCTCAATTATTCTAAAAGTGGCCGCTTGCACCCTGATATATTAAATGGACATTTTTACCCTTATTTATTTCTCTTCTTCAACAAATTATTATTTATATGTAGGGATGATCACGGTTCGGTTCGAGCCAAATCAAACACTGTAGCAACCGAATTGAAAGGTTCAGGTTATGATTCATAATCGGAACCCAATATTTGGGTTTCGTTTTATTAAAATCACAAATTAGAAAAATTGGATCTTGAACCGTGAATCGGCCGTTCAAAATCGGAAAGTGCTATAAGAGCATCCCCAACAAGGAGATTTTGCATCAGAATTAAGAAAAAAAATAGGTATGTGGAGGAGAGATGAGAGAGAGGGGTGAGTGCCTCATGCTAGAATGGAGATTTTGTCATAAATGTGGGTCCCACCAAGAGAGAGAATGAAGTTTGTGGGTAGAGTTTTTTCACCTTTGTTTTTATTTTTTTTCTTTTCTTTTTTTTTTCATACATTTTTCTCTCTCATCTCTCTTATTTGGCACCTAAAAACTTATTTATTGAGGATGCCCTAAGGATGGTGTATTCAATCATGACTTTTGTAGAGTTTTAAAGACTTTTAAAATGATAGATTTTAATAAACTTTGATTGACTTTCATAGAGTCATTCAAAACTTTTTAAAACTTTATAAGACTCTATAAAAGTCTATATAAAAAACATTCATAGACTTTTATCAACTTTTTATTTTAAAAAGTCTACAAAAGTTCTTGAAATTCTAAATTGAATACATCCTTACAAACTTTCAATGGTTTTGATTCTTATCATTTATATAATTTTCTTACAAAACAATTTTAATATATCATAAAATTTTCTTATTATATAGTTCTTCACCCACATCAACACTCTCAACATTATTATTTTTATCCATAGTATGCTGAGACTTATATGCTAATTACTTATATATATATATTATTAAAAAGCATCAAAAAAATTATTTCATTAAAAATTCATAACAATATTGAATAATAAAATTTATAATAAAAGAGTTGATCAAATAAAATATTTAAAAATATAATTACAAGTTGCATAAAAAAAATAAATCTAATATATATATATATATAATTATACTTGATATATTGCTAGACATCATGCAAAGAACTATTATTTGCAATAAGACTTTGAGATTAGAGAAAGTTAGGGATAAAAAATTAATAGATCGAAAAAATAAAAATCAATATAAACAAATAATAATGAAGTAAAAATAATATTATTTCAAATTTTTAGAGAAAGATTGTAAAGTTTAGGAGAGAGAAAATTGGTAGAGTTTAGGTATGAGGAAAATATAGGATAATGAAGAAAAAAATAATTTTATTGAATTTAGATAGGTTTATAAAGTTTAAATATGAAGAAAAAATAGAGTTTAAATAGAGAGAGACAACATTCAAAGTTGTTAGAAAGAAAATTTTGAAATCTTGGGGTTGATGGTTGGATTTAACTATTTATATTTGAGAAGGAAAAGTCTACAAAAGTCTTAAAATTAAAAAGTCTGCAAAAGTTCATAACTTTTTGAATACCACATGACTTTTAAAGACTCTCTAAAAGTCTTAATCGAATACCACACGACTTTTAAAGATTCTTTCAAAATCTTGATTGAATACCGCCTGACTTTTAAAGACTCTCTAAAAGTTTGAATTGAATACCCCCTAACTCTTAGAGTTCATAAAAGTCTTTAAAACTCTATGAAAGTCATGATTGAATACACCCCCCTAAGTATATAATTCAGAGGAAAAAAGTGTCATTTTTTCAAGATTTTATCAAACTAATGCATGATGGATAATTTATAAGTACTTTATAGGGAAAATTGCATCTTTAGTCCATGAATTATAACCAAATTCTGACTCTGTCCCTAAGTTATGACCGTATCCAAGTTTAGTCCATCGGTTACGAACGAAGTTGCGAGTTTGGTCCCCGGTGTTAGTATTCCGTTTGCAGCTAACGAACAAAGATTATTTATGTTTTATTATTTAGTATTTTACTTCTTTTCTCCTGGAATTAACACTGTCAACGCAACACTAACATTAGGGACAAAAATCGCCACGTCGCTCATAATCGAGGGACTACTATTGGATACGGTCATAACCTAGGGATTGAGTCGTCACTATGGTTATAACTCATGGACCAAATATGTCATTTTCCCTAGTTTATAATATAAAAAGTTTTTTTTTTTGAAAACATATAACAAGTTAATATATCAATTGAATGGTATTTAATACAGGAGTTCAGCAATTTCATTCTTCCAAAAAGGTTGAACCCCAATCCTAAGGGTCCTTTCATACCTTGACCCGACAGAACATTTGGAAGGATGTAAATCATGGTAACTCAACTGAACATGAACCACAGAGGCTAGACCTTTGTTTACTGTGCACAAGGAGCGATCACAACGAGTTCAGCAATTTCATGCAAATACTATAGCTTTATCATATGTTGGGCTTAGCTAAATCAAACCAAAAGATTTGATGATAATTGGGCAAATTATGCTGTGCATCCGTATGCACCATGCATGGTGCATACGGATGCAAAAACGACGTCGTTTTAATAAAACGCACGTCTCCCCTTAAAAAAAAAATCAGGTTCGATTCCCAGCAACAACATATGAACTAAAATTCCATAATCGATGAACTATAATTCCATAATCTAATCTATGAACTAAAAATTCCAGAATGAATGAACTAAAATTCCATAATCTATAAACTAAAATTTCAGAATCGATGAACTACAATTTCATAATCGATGAACTATAATTCCATAATCAATGAACTATAATTCCATAATCTATGAACTAAAATTCCAGAATGAATGAACAATATAATGTTGTTGCTGGGAATCGAACCTGATTTTTTTTAAAAGAGAGACACGCGTTTTTTAATAAAACGACGTCGTTTTGGCATCCGTATGCACCATGCATGGTGCATACGGATGCACAGCATAACCACTGTGATAATTGTGAGCCGGCCGGCCTACAGATTAGGGAGATATACTATTCACGGAATATTCTCTAGGACTCTAAGATTTGGCTTATCAATAAATAATTGAACAATTTGGCGAGACATGATTACACTTTGATAAACAAATGGATTATTACTTATTACTTATTAGGCATGCAATTTGAACCTAATGCAAAATGGGTCATCTTGACAAGTATGTACATAATAATATTTTGGTCAAAGAGATCCATTCAAAGGTTGTACATAAACTAATCAATATTTTTCCATATACACACAATCACACTTGATGTCTTGCTCAAAAGCAATGAATGTACAAAGTTTGTTTAGTATTTGGGTTAGACAACTCAAAGTCCAATCTTATACCGAAAAGAATAAATTCTTTTAATGTTTACAAATCTATTATTACAATATACAATAAGGAATTAATTGAGACAATAGCTAAAATTAAAGTATCAATCTTTTGACTTTATGTTCTAAAAAAAAAAATCTTAAATGTTATTAAATAAATAAAATTAAACTTTAATTAAGATTTTTTTCATGGGTTTGGGCGTGTTGTAATTAAACCCCAAAGCCGCGTTGATGATTGGACTTTTGTTGCATTTCTTTCATCATAGCCACATGACAGCATTTCATAATAATAATAATAATAATAAATATATGAGAGGAACAGAATGGATGAACCAGAATCAAGTAGATCTGTGCCTACTGCCTACTGGCCATATCCTTGTAATAATTAATATAATAAATTGCTCCAGCTAATATAATAGTTGAACCTCTAACACCTTCATTATATTGTTCATCAACACGTACCTCATCACTGTATACCAATATATGACCTATTTACATATAAAGAATTTAAATTAGTTGTTCTTCAATATGCTGAAAGTGATTATAAGTGGTCCGAAACGTTAAACAAGTGGATAGAGCATAATTCTCGTACCTAAAAAATTGCTAATTCAATTCTTATTAACATTTTATTAGTCAAGTCCGTTTTACTTGTTTTCTTATTGCAATTTATCTCTCTAGGACTATTAGATAGAAGCTAAGTTTATTCGTGTACACCCTCGAATAATAATGATAGGTTTCCCTCATTACCAAAAAAAAAAAAAAATTATTATAAATGGGTTTGATACTTCAACTTAATTATTTTTAAAAACTAATTAATTTTCAGTTTTATTTGGAGACACTTGTGCTAAAATAAATTGGTAAAAGGTGACGGGTTTGATTCTTGTAAACTCTTTCCCACTTAAATCGGTTACATAAGATTTTTCTAGTGAGTTTCTCCTCTTCTATTTGTGGACTATTATACATGAGAACGAAGAGTTTATCCCATGTATATCTCATGTCCTCATTAAAAAATGAAAGGAAGAAAGAAAAAAATTGTTACTACCTATAATATAGTTACAACTATTATAGGACATCTTAGAGCATCCATTTCAGTTGGTTTTTTGCACAATATTTAAGAAGCCAAGTAGAAGAGAGAGAATAAGAAGGAAAAAAAAAAGGAGCATTTTGACACAAAAAAAAAAAAATGCATTCTCTCATTCTCTCTCCTTGGAATAATCCGCA